CGGGCCGGCTAAGCCGGTAGCAGAGCCGTGGAAGGTGAAGAGGTTGTGGCCTAAGCGATAGTGAGACATGGAAATTAACGGGGCAACCAGGCGGCTGGGGAGTTTTCCAAATGTGGCCTGCAACAATTGGTGCACAAGTGCAATTTATTTGGGATATACGGGGAAATTATCTCTAGGATGATCTCGTTTATGATTTGTGGAAGGTGCCCCGCGAGTTTGCGACACCGCCCTCTCCCTGTATGGTTGATTATTATACAGCAGCTGCTCAGTTAGGTGGCGCAGGTCCACCTAAAAAAATGCTGCTGTTAAGGGAAGCATCCGGTTCCCGTACTTGCCGGCACCTAGCATCCGGTTCCCGTACTTGCGCGGTAACGTTTGTTTTTGTACCCGGTCAAAGACTTTTTCCAGTGTTCTATGCCATTCTGTAGCCAAAACACTTGTACAACACATATCGGTGGGAAAAGTGCTTCTGCGCGCTACCTCCTATTAGAGAATTAATGGTGAAGTAGAATTCAAATAAAATGCCAGGAGGCTGAGCAGCAGCCATAGGCCGATCTTTTTAAAATTTAGCACACACGCAATTGGGTGAAGAAGAAAATCTGATGAAAATCGGTTGTAGGAATTTGTAATAAATGACTATTAGTCCATCACCCATTAACTTACTATAAATGGCTATCTGAACGACCGTACGATTTCTTACTTACAGGGGACATATAGGGGAAATTCAAGACGGAAAATTACAGGGGAAATTCCAGACGAAGGTCGCGATCCCCAAGCAATTCAGGATAATAGCCCACAGCATATGTAGTATGAACATCTTACCGCAACTGTTAACCCAGAAAAGCGACAATCAGCGAGGCAATGGGAAAGCGCTGTCTGTGATAACGTTACTAATCCTGATTAGGAAGAAAAGAGATCCAACGTTAGCAAGGAGCCAAAAGTATGCTATATTTAAGTGGCATCAGTGTGAAGTAGCGGCGCCAAGTCGTATGTGAGATGAGAATGTACTTCTCGTCAATACCAGGCCACCAGTTGGTAGATCACTGAAATAAGTACCGGCTGCATGCCGCACAACGACATGTGCCGACTAGAGTAGGGGGTATATGTTGCTTGCTGGAGTAAATCGGGAAACTAAAATAGACAGCTGACTGATGTTGCTCTCATTTACCGCAATCTCACAACTAGTCGAAAACGCAGCGAAAGGAGAGACAGCACTACCAAGCGCTGTCTGGAAACCGCGCGTCTTCATGCTGAAAATGGGACAGTCCATCAAACTTGCTGGTAAGTGCGCAACAAAACTGATAACATGTATTTTTATTGCGGTGTGTAACCTTCAAAACCGTCCGGACGGATAAACCGCTCGTCGGATGCTTTTGACTGATAAGCCGGCAAAACTGTCCGTCCCGAAACCACACTCCGGCAAAGTTGTTTAATCGCGAATATATGTGTGCAGTCCGGCAGACGGTCCGCGTGAAAATCTTGGATCTGAATTCGAACTGGGCAAAACATTCTGGTAGGCAAAATTTACGGCTGACGTTTTACTGGATCGGCAGACGGTTTTGCCGAATTCATGGCGCAAGCGATCGGCGGACGGTTTATCCGTCCGGACAGTTTTGCCAATTATTGGGTGACACATTCGCTGTGTCGTGATGTCCGCATATGCAACCGGTAAATGGCAGCTTGTTTAGCAGTCGCTGGCGCGCAATAACAAAACATACGTAATCACCTGAAACTTGCCGGTAGCTGTACTTTCCAGCCTGTAGCATTCAGTACAACGGACAGCAGCCACTACAGCACCAGTCACATCTCCAACTTTAAAAAGATTTGCTTTCTGTTTAGCCGATACATGGTTAAAGAAAAACAAGCGTACAGAGTGTACTCTAGTTCACGGTGACACAAAATCGACTGCTGCAGTGCAGTTGAACAGTGCATACAGATCGAACGCCAAAACAACCCCAAACCTGTTTGTTCTAAAGAACAACATTATGAGCTGGAAACTGGGACAGCGCACTCTGAACAAATATCACCAGAAAGGCCATCGGTCAGTAGACCAATTGGTGACACATGGAGCGCACTATGAGTTACCCGGTTTTTAAATTAGTGACCGATTTTTGAGCACCCGCTTTTTAAGTTACCCGGTTTTTGAGGGACCCGCGATTTACAAAGTGGACACAGGATTTTCCACGCTTCAGGTTATAAAAGGTGAAAAGCCAGGCCCATAAGAAGTTATTAAGCAAAACAGTGACTTTTACACAGGAGCGCCAATCATTTTTTAAAACGTACAGTGTAATTTTTAATGAATTGTTTTTATTGCTTTTATTAAAACCCCTAATGCTATACGTTTGCGCCACAACGTGCACTAACGGGAGAAGACTGACTTTAATTCCACCTTGACAGCTGTACTCCCGACAACTGTGTCGTCTCCACACAGTTGCATCGACTTATATACCACATCAATATGCATACTCGCATAACACGCTCATATTCGCATACAGCCACAAAGCTATGAAACCATACACACCAATCTGACCACTGCACAACCGCTCCTGCAGGGGTGTTGCTAAAGTCTGTGACTGTGACTGGGTGGGACTGGGTGGGAGTGGGAGTTTATGTGACTGGGACCTTCTGTGACTGTGACCGTCTGTGACTGTGCCGGACTGGGCCTGGGAGCGATTGGGACTGTGACCATTTGGGACTGGGACTAGTGTGCGCAACTTGACGCCAAATCGACCGAAAGCGCACTTCCGGCCAGATTTAAACTGAAGTTTTTTTTAAAGTTTTGCACCTTTAATGCATTAATGGTTGTCGTCAATAAAAGTTTACACAACAAAATTTTTAATAATATAATTTTACAACACACAAGCCCTGGTCTCTCCCTGGTTTTGTCCATAAAAAAAAACAATAATTCAAAAACTGCATGAACTCTGAAATATGTAACAGCGCATCGCGCGATATTGACTGGAGCAGTGGCTGGATGTACAAGCACAGGAGGCTAGGAAACGCCTTTTAAGAAAGTGGCAAAATAACCGTTACTTACCGTTAACAGTAACCCATGTAAGTTCTGCAGCAAAGTGACACGTGCTCTTCTAGTATTGTTTTCTGACTAGTAAACCCCGCGCAAACTGCACGAAAGAAATTAACTAAGTACAGTAAATTACTTACCTTGCTTACGTGATTTATGGAAAATCTTTTATAGGCTATTTCTGAGCGAATTAACCACCAAATTCTAGAATATACCTTATTCTTGCAATTAATGCGACATTTTAATTCGTATTAAATTTGTACTGTCCGAACTATATGTTTACAGCCAATATATGTGCAGTTCACTGTAAATTGTGCACAATACAGTATCATAATATTGTTCTATACATCTGGTGATTCTGGTCTAAATGCTGCCCGGTGCCTTCAGTTGCACTGCTGGCAACAGCATCCATCCCATCTTCTAGCAAATTGCTGTTTGTTAATTGGACAGATACATGGAAAATCACAAAAAACCATCCTCTGCAAACGAGGCGACAGTGTTATGGCCACGCCGGATGTTGCGCGCACAAACGGTTTCCACGCCAGCGTATACAAATCTTCTGGCCACAGAATATTATAAACCGAATCAAAAATGCGTTTGGGAGTGCGCGAAAGTGTAAGTTTTCGTGCATGTACACGAATCTCAAGCTCATGGTCAAGTGTGTGGCCCGTACCACTGCTGCCTAATTGTAAATTTCAAAAACTTCTTTTTTTGTAAATTATATTCATTCATAAAAAATTAAAGAATTTGCTTTCGTAAAAAAATACGCTGACATCACACAATTTCAGGTAAAAATAAATTAACTGTTGTACTGTTTAAACAGGCGATCTAAAAAGCTGCTGTTAGATGGCCTCAAACACACGGACACTTTCAATCGTTCAGAGCTACCGCCTTAGCTTTCTGATTGGCCAGACGGATTTCGATTAAAATGTTTGTAGTTTAACACACGCATTTTTAACTTCGGTTAAAAAACTGGCCGGAAGTGCGCTTTCGGTCAATTTGGCGTAAAGTAGCGCACACTAGTCCCAGTCCCAAATGATCACAGTCCCAATCGCTCCCAGGCCCAGTCCGGCACAGTCACAGAAGGTCCCAGTCACATAAACTCACACTCCCACCCAGTCCCACCCAGTCACAGTCACAGACTTTAGCAATACCCCTCCTGCAGGCCATATTAGTCCTGCCTTCCTCTCATTCCCACTTGACCATCGCTCACACCCACTCACGCATATAAATGCATAACACCATAAAGGCATGAATTTCCCGCACAAATATGGTCATAAATGATACAGCTCAGTCGCACAAACAAGAACATAAAGATATGTTCAACCATGCAGTCCACGCTATCCATTGTCCATGGTCGTAATCCACGGTCGTAGCATAATTGTATACCAGAACAAGTGGGCGCAGCCTGAACGACTGGACAGAGAGCACTCAGAGCAGAACATCTGTGTATTGTTCGATATCGCAGTACTGATGGTTGCAGACAGCAAGCTGCCTCTTACTCTTAACAGCCAGATCTTTTATGAGTACATTACTCAAGAAAGAAAAGTTGAGAGGCCTAAACAGTCCGAGCCTCCGGCTCCATACTCGCGATTTTCAAGCAGCGGAGCCTTGATTCACAGGGGCAATCGCAGCAAGCATGCACTGTCTTGAGTAGCGTTTTGGTTTTATGCATAGACACCAGCGCGATCGCCTACCCTTCCAAGCCCAGTTAGTATTTTAGATCAGTATATACTCGCAACCGTAAATTTTCGTACAGTGGGTCTGTGTGCGTGCATATTTCAATGTATAATATAGTACGGACACAAAGACGCAATAAAGGCTGTGTTTTTAATTAGTTAATACCAACTGTGATTTCTCTTCTTTTTCTCGGTGATAAGAATCATCACAGTTACAAACAGCTATTTACGGGAACTGATGCGTGTAGTTGGTGAGTTAGTTGCTGCATTCCTTAGGGTGCATTAGCGAGCCAGCGACCGCGTTAACATGGAAGCAATATTTGGGTATTCATCTCTTTTGAACATGTTGGGCTGCGCCATTATCCTCTTGAGTGTGCCTGGTAAGTTATTTTATAGGCTTTTTGTATTCTACAGCAGATATCTATAAGATGGCCGCAAAATGGGTGCATTAAATTCTATTGCCAAAATGGCTCTTATCTGATACCTTCATCGCCTTCCAGAAGCGCCCTGGTATCACCGCCTTGGTACTGCACAAGTCTCGCAGTATTGGTTTTTAACGCAACTGACCAGTAACACTGTTAATTCCGTTAGTGCTTCTTTTATTGGCAGTTTACTTTTCCGCTTTCCGCTATTTTACGCATAATAAACTTTTCCATTCTTAACTGCCTTTAAACTGAAATAAGTATAAATTTTCAAAATTAGACAAAAAACAATTTCCCAATAACCGGGTAGAATATTTCTTTTAATGGAGGTTCGCTATGTACACCATTTCGCCGGTACATTGTAACCGTTTACCAACTGTTGTAGACTTAATCTGGAAGACTCCGCAGCCGCCTGGCTGTCCCGTTAACCTGGTCGTTTCGATGTCAGTGAGCGCCAATATCACCGCCTTCTATGGGACCTTCACCGGCTTACTCGGCCGGCTGTGTCCGGAGCATGCCACGCCCACCGCACAGCGTATCACGCGCTGGATGTTCCGTCTCTTGGCCGTGTGGTGCGCCGTCCTCCTGCAGCGTACCATGGCGTACCTGCTACGCCCTATGGCGGTTCCGCATATCGCTAGTATCACAGCGGCCAACGTCACCAATTTCGGCCAGACAGCCGTGTCAGCCGACTCGGCCGGGACGATATTACCGTGCAGCTTCATTCTTTCCATGTACATCACAGTACCCATAATTCTTCTATGGGAATGCACGCTCGTGGAGTTCTTCCCGCACCGACCTGGACTGGATATTGGCTGCGAATTCTGCAGAAACTCCCCGGCACTCATCCGCTTTGGCCACATGGTGAAGATCCATTCGGTGGTGTGTGAATTATACGCTCTTGTGCACTTGTTGATATTGACTTAAAGTGGTTAAGATAAAATATCCGGTTATTCCGGTACAAAGTGCCAGCTTCGCATGCATTTATCGAAGCTTGTGCGTTCGCGCGCTCGGAAACACCTTTTTGTACTACCCCATGATAACTATAATCAGAAGACAACTGATCTGTATACATTGACCGGATAATCAACGTTTGCGCTCAACATCCGATCGCTGACATATGTCGATTTAAAATGGGCGGAAAGTTCCCCGTTTCATTGTGATACACCTTGCTCGACACCAGAATTGGTCTTTACTTTATTCATGTCTGCGACGGCCATCTGCCATATTTTTAATTACGTTGTGTTCATATTGTTTTTGTTAAGTGGTGCTTGCATTCTTTTAATAAATCCTTCCCAGTTTTTTTAAGCTGCGCTATAAAAGACACATACTTATGAGAACAAAGCTACATAATTTTTGAACCACGTCATACTGGAAACTGGAAAAGAATCAAACTAAAGAAATGCAGTACCACAAAAATATCACTTGTTAAAAAATTCAGCGGGACCTTGATCTGTTGAGACCATCAAGGATCCTACACAACCGATCCACTCAGGCCGTACAGATTGACAACGAATATTGGTCAAATTTTCTCGCGACCGTGCACTGATTGAAACTTTGATTTTTGTTTATTATTCAGTAGGCCAAAATTTATGTACAGTCTGTACATGCTGCAAATAAATGCAAAAATAAAAAAGATTATAATAAATTTATGAAAGAAGTGGAAGCATATTGTAAAATCACCCTCTGTACATACCAGAGCTAGTTTCCAAAGATTTAAAAGGAAAGCAAGATTCAAGCAAAATCAACAGAGTGGCTGGGAACTTCTTGATTTTGATGCATCGGCCAACATCGATAATTGACTGGTGCTGGTGCAGCAACTTTCGGATAAGCTCGTTTCTTTTCCTCTTCTGCGCTACCAGCATGTTGTTGCTGATTTGAGCAAGCTGCCTCTTAAGGGAAATGGCCCGGTACGTGGTGTCAGAAAATGTGGGATACGTACACTAAAGTAACACTAATACTTTCGCTTTCGCACACTCCGAATCACTTTTTTGTAATACTTTATAACATTCTAAAGCTAAATGATTTGTATACATTGGTCGGAAAACCGTTTACGCGCGCAACATCCGGTTGCCGAGATATGGCGTACTAAAAATGGGCGAAAAGTTTGAATGCATTGTTGTACACCGAAAGTCTGGCTATTATCCAATCTTCTTGAACCTTTGCTATAAAAGACACATGGCAGGCAGGGTGTAAAAGGTACCAGTGTCACCTGCCACTGGCGGTGGCTTACTGGCAAGCGATAAAACGTGACAAGTGGCAAATGCCAAGATATATTTATGCACGAGTTAGAAATATTTAGAAATTTCATTCAATTAAGAATGACATGATTTTGCATAAAAGCATAAAATATTTCTAATTGCACTGCAACATCGAATTGCTCTCTCCAGGGTCACCGCCAGGAATGCGCCGAACGAGTTTTTTTCCGCAGCATGTTCGCATTTTTATCGAATTCCAACCAACAAGTGCAGATAATGAGGCGAGTGACATTGACAACCGGAAACAATTATGTTTCCGGTAAGCAGCAGCACAAAAATCGGCCACGTTCCGTCGAATCGCTTGCCTTCATGGTGTGTTTTCCACAAATAACCACCTGACACAACCCGACCAGCGTTAAGGGTAATGGGCACCGCACACTGCTTGTTGGTTTAACTTGCCGAGAATGCGTGCCGTACGCAAAGCACATGCAGCTCGACCAAACTTCTAACGAAGAAAAATGAGTTACCAAACAACCGCAGTTGAGCTCTGTCAACAGCTGGTCAGAAGTGAGAACTGATAAGGACAGAATGGCTAAAGACCTGCAGATCGTAGGTGCTTATCGAGATTCATTTATTATGTATATTTATTCTGGTATATAAATAATCGTAAAGTGGTAAGTACTTACAGCTACGGAGATTACACGTTAACAATCCCCAGTATTGCTGTGGATTCACAGCCATTTCTCATCACACTGTCGCAGTGGGCAGCGGAAACAGATGCCTTATAGCTAAAACTGTCTAAAAGCACAGAACGGAGTAATTTGGCTGGCTGATATCATATGTATATTTCACTATTCTGGTACACTTCTTCTGTTTTTCGTGTGGAATTTGTCTGATTAGCTAAGGTAAGTTTGGCGTAAATGTCGGCGACATTTGAATACTGTGCTGGTCTCTTAACTGTGCGCCAAAATGTCTCAGGAGCATAGCCTTTTCGTTTTAAAACAAATACATGGCTGACGTCTTATGTGGAAAGAGTACCTCAAAACGCACCTGAAAGTGTTTTATGCTGACAATAAGTCAATAACCAACAACAAGCCCGCGCCGATAGACATTAATTAAAATTTTAATTTTACACGGTGAAGAAACAACCGAGATCATTACTGTCCCTTCCAGTTTTCGATCGCGCGTTTAATTTATCAAAGACAGCAGCGGCATTCCTCTAACAACAGCCAGCCTAAAACGTTGTTGTTTAAAGCTTCGAACTACGCGGAGCAAAAGGGCTCGAAGAATTATGCATCGCACTTGAAGTGTGATCCTAGCATTAGTCTCTCAGCAAAGGCAGACCCGAAAGTTCCAAACGTTTCGACTGCGAGGGGGTAGAAAAGGTACCCGAATATCCTCCAGAAATCCGTACTTCCGGCGTTTACTGTCTTCCGCCAGCATACTGCCACGCTTCCGGCATTTACTAGCGAAGAAAATTAACAAAATGAATCGAGTATATTGCATATTTGGTGGCATGCACAGTACTGGCGCACTTCTTAATATATTTTCGAAATTTTTCGTTAGTGTTTTCTTATGTGTTCACTTTTTAGTGAATGATATGCTTACAGAAAGCTCTGCGTATAACAAAAAAGAGAAAAGCTAGAAGGTGCTAAGAAGAGTGTTCGTCGATCTGTCGGTGGTGTTTTAGTTGTTTTATGTATTCGCGGGGTAAACGTTTATCGGTCAGCGAAGAGTCGCCAGGAATTTGTCTATCGGTTACAAAATGGTTAGTAATACGTTGTCGGTGTGTTTCGCAATTTATTGTCTAGCATGGATGAAGACAACGACGTCACACAAAAAATTATCGCGTTAACTGTACTATACTTAGTACCAGTACACATGCAATTTGACTGTTTAGTTTTTACGCTTTTCACTTCATAGTTCAAGTCCAATTTGACCGACAGCCCAATTCAATGGGTAGAGAGTGCACACGAGTCAACAAACCTAATTTCGATCTGCAATCGTTCGGTAACGCGTACAACCCGGCTCTGAAATGGGTGGCGTAAACGCCGTAAAGGAACATCGCAAATTACAAATTTTATGGGTTACTCTAAGTGGGATACCACGTCGCGCCAGACCACACTATTTTTGCGGTTTAGGCATTTAGGCATTTAATATACGTTTAATTAGTATTAATTATAATGAAATATTTATAGTGGCCTAATTGTTAGGTTATTAAATTTCGTCTACCGTATTATTACGGCAATGAGGGGTACTCTCGTGCATGCGGGCATTTAGTGCGCATGTGCACAAAAGATTCCAGAGTCATGGATAGCATGGACTATAAGAACAGAACAGTGTTTCTCTTGCTATAGCGAGTTGCGCAAAGTCATGACTTTCTGACGGAAACCAGAATGTAGTGGACAATTCATTCTTCTACATTTCGATCTATAATGAGTAAAGTACAATTTTACGGAGCAGTTGTGATTTCTCTTTTTCTCTCGGTGAAAACCATAATCACAGACTCACAGTCACATGCAGTTCCTTACCGGAATTATCTAGCGACCGCGTTAACATGGAAGCCATGATTGCGAGCGTTGCGTACTCCGCTCTTTTGATCATCTTGGGCTGCGCCACCCTCTTCTTGAATGCGTTTGGTAAGTTATTTTCAAGGCTTTTTCTAGGCTACAGGCCTACAGCAGATACCTATATGATGTGCTGCAAAATGGTCTGCATTAAATTTTATTGCCAAAATGGCTCTTATACTATTGCCATCATTGGCACCGGGTACCCTGGTATCACCGTCTTGGTACCGCACAAGTTTCGCAGTTTTTGTTTTTAACGCAGCTGACCACTTTTAATTTTGTTAGTGTTTTTTTTGGCAGTTTACTTTTCGACATTCCGCTACTTACGCATAATTAACTTTTCCCTTAGCGTAGGGTAGCGTTTAATGAGTGTAATCCATAAAATCAAACCGAAATAAGTGTTAATAGTTTCAAAATTAGGCAAAACAATTTACCAGTAACCGGGTAGAATATATCTTTTGATGGAGTTTGGCTATATTTGGCTATGGAGTACGTATTGGCCTGTCGACAAATTGAGAGCATGTAAAGGTACCGGTAGAGCGATATTAGCGCGAAGTTGACGCTGCACTACGCTTATCGCAGCGCATAACTGGGTTTCGCAGTTAAATTGCCGTTACTGCATCGGCCGTTTTCTAGCTAAATTCCGCCAGGCAATTATTACTAGTATTATTCCCATTAAAATATCTGGCGTCACCAAGCCACCAGCCAGCCAAATGCATGTTACCTGTTTCAACAGTGTGGCGTGGCGCGCCGTAGTCCGGATTTACGCGTTACCCGTAAATTTCTAATGTTCACTATTTTTACGAATGCTCAATTTGTCGACAAGCTTGTAAACCATTTCGCCGGTACATTGTGTGCAACCGTCCACCAACTGCTGTAGACATCATCTGGAGGACTCCCCAGCCGCCCGACTGTCCCATTGACCTGTACGTTTCCGCGTCAGTGAGCGCCAATATCATGGCCTTCCATGGGACCGCGACCGGCTTACTCGGCCGGCTGTGTCCGGCGCATGCCACGCCCACCGCACAGCGTATCACGCGCTGGATGTTCCGACTCTTGGGCGTGTGGTGCGCCGTCCTCCTGCAGCGTACCATGGCGTACCTGCTACGCCCTATGGCGGTTCCGCATATCGCTAGTATCACAGCGGCCAACGTCACCAATTTCGGCCAGACAGCCGTGTCAGCCGACTCGGCCGGGACGATATTACCGTGCAGCTTCATTCTTTCCATGTACATCACAGTACCCATAATTCTTCTATGGGAATGCACGCTCGTGGAGTTCTTCCCGCACCGACCTGGACTGGATATTGGCTGCGAATTCTGCAGAAACTCCCCGGCACTCATCCGCTTTGGCCACATGGTGAAGATCCATTCGGTGGTGTGTGAATTATACGCTCTTGTGCACTTGTTGATATTGACTTGAAGTGGTTAAGATGTAATATCCGGTATAAAGTGCCAGCTTCGTATGTATTTGTGGAAGTATCTGCGTTCTGAAATTCCGACAACTTCCGGGTAAGCGCGTCTCTTTTCTTCGACTTCTGCGATACCGCTTGCTGGCCCGAGAAAGCTGCATGCTTCTTAACCGGGTGCACAGATAGACCATAATTATGGCGTAACCTAGCGAGTGCTCATATCAAAGAAAGACCGTCCTTCCAGGCTAAGATGGATAAACCGTCTGACAGGTTGCCGTCCGTATCTGTTCATTTCGATGTTGTCAACACCTGCGCTTAATCATGCTTTATTAGTGTAGAAATCATCGTTTATTGTCCCTACATTTTCAAAAATGGCCAACCTTGTGGTGCTCCTGCATTAACCAATGCACTGCTGTAGTCGCCAAATCCGTCCAGACGGATCAGCTGTACACCGGACGCTTTTGCCTATAAGGCAGCAAAACCGTATTCCGGTTCAGGAAAACGTCCGCCGTAAATATTTTGTCCACACGATTTTTTGCACGTTTGGAATGCGCATAAACATTTTTAACCGTTTTGCCGGATTGTGTTTTCGAGGTTTCGCCGGCTTATATGGGAAAAACATCCGGCGGATGTTCATACTTCCGGACAGTTTTTTCGGTTAAAACACCACAGTGAGCATTTAGTTCATGTTACGCAGTACGCACTTACCGGCATGTTTATGGATGGCCCGATTTGCAGCACAAAAGATACGCAGCTTCAAGACAGCTGCTGTTTTCTAGGTCTGCTTTAATGGCTATTGCCGAATAAAAGCTTAGGGCAGCGTTTGCCTGCGCTGTCTCTCCTCACGCTTAGTTTCCACTTTCCAGTACGCAGTTGTGGGACTGCGGTGAACGATTGCAACATGAGTCAGTGCCTGTTGTAGGTTAAAACTGATTTAGCAACACATGTACTTTTAATACGGTATGTGGCCGACTAGAAGTACTGCAGCCTGCAGCCTGTACTGCTCCATATCGTCTATGATCGATTTTTTGGTATAAACGAGAAAGTGTACGCTCCCCTTGCATACAGTTTAGCGGCTCTAGATTAGCGCCGCTGCCAGTAAAACGCAACATACTTCCGGCTCCTTGCAAGATGCTGACGACGGATCGTTTTTTATTTTCTTATCAGAATTAGTAACGTCATTATCTCCGGAAACTGATTATTGCCACCGTTCAGTGACCGTTGACTGTTGTTTTCCGGAGTGATTAGCAATTGTATTAACATGGTTTGCATACATATGCTTTGGACCATTTTCTTGGATTGCCTGGGTACGGCGACTTTCATCTTGAATTTCCCCTGTAAGTTCTCGAAAAATCTAATCCCCGGATGTTTAAGTTGCGAGTTCTTTGCATTGGCTATAATTAATTATTCATAGAAAATGAAACACAATGTTTGGAAATACAAACCCATGTGTTACATTTTATCTGCATTTATCCACTTTCTAGGTCTTTGTCAGTTTATTGATAATGGCACTGCCTTCCGTCCTGTATAAACTGAATGTTTTCATATTTAGGTGCCTTTGCGTGCAGAATTTAAAATAACATTGGCTCACATAATTAGGCTTGTGGAGTACTTATTAGTTGTTTGCATTTAAAGTTTTTGAAATTCTTTTTGTTTCACGCCAACGTAAGCCAGTCTTTTGGCTACTGAATAGCATAAAACAGTGGAAAACATTCTTTGAGATAACGCAAAAGCGAAATTTTCCGCGCATCTACGGGAGTTTGTTGCAAGCTACCGGTAAACTTCCTATAACAGCGAAATCATACGCTATTTCGTATATAAGTATAACCTGAAGAATTGTTGAATAATGCAAGTACTATCCCACTGCAGTATCGTTACCATACAGGGCGCTGTCGCGGACTCATGTACATCTTCCGCAAATTATAAATGATGTCATCAAATGATGATACAAATGATTTCCCCGTACACCGCAATATAACACACTTGTTAACCAATTGTTGCAGGTCACATTTGGAAAGATCAGCCGCCCGGCTGCCCCGTCAATTTCCATGTCTCGCTGTCGCTGGGCCACAACCTCTTCGCCTTCCACGGCTCCACCACCGGCTTGGCCGGCCCGCTGTGCTCGGAGCACGCCACGCCCAGTGCACAACGGACCGCGCGCTGGATGTTCCGTCTGTTATGCGTGTGGAGCGCCATCCTCCTGCAGCGTACCGCGGCGTACTTACTGCGTCTGGAGGAGGCCCCTCGCGCCGCGAATGCCACAGCCGGCATTGTGGCCAATGCAACCCGTCTGATAGCGCCAACGGACGCGGCCAATACGGGTTGCGAATGGAACAACTTCATTCTCTTCATGTATGTCATGGTGCCGCTGATTTTCCTGTGGGAGTGCACGGTGTGGGAGTTATTCCCGCAGCAGCGGCCCGGATTTTGTTTCGGCTGCGCGTACTGCAACTCCCGATGGATGATTTTGTTTGGCCGGGCGATGAAGATCGTCTCGGTGGGGTGGAACCTATACGCGGTTGGGTACCTGTTGACGCTAACATAGAAGAAACGATCAATGCTGAGTACGGTGTACCCCGATTGCGTTAATCTGCGAAACATCGGTGTGAAACCTTCTCACGTATTCTGATTCTGATTAGATGTTTTTCGTTGAGAATGTGATAGGGTTACTTTGGAGTGGGAGTTCTTAGTTTTCGAAAACCTTTCCTTTGTGTCATAGCTCTAGCTAACCTCTAGTTAAAGTTCCACGAGTTACGGACTGTAAATACGATACTTGATGGTGTGCCTGGAAATCGTATTTAGATATTTTTTGGATAATAGCAGCTCCGAGAGTTGTGGTGCATTCCTGTTAGACGTCAACCTTTAGACACGTGTCGGTCACCGTCGGTGCAAACTGCAAACACGGCAGTGCACTTTAATGCCATGCTCATCAAGAAGGTTGTTTGTCAGTTACGGTCGAACTCCGGAATGTCCGCAATCGTTGAGAATTAAACGCTCAAAGTTATTAAAGTAACATCGCGGACGTGCAGATACAAGGCCCGTGCGTGCACCCAGCGCGGCTCCTGTTTGAATGATGACACATGCGGCCGATGCGCGGGGCGATATAGTAATGAGAACAACTAACTAGAGTCGGATGTTGATCAGTACATACGGTTAATTGCTGCGCGGTGCATAAGCACCTTATATAGCCGTAACTTTGTACTCCAACCGGGTGACCGCAGAAGTACAGGGAACTGCTTAATTAAGCTCTTGACAGCCCCTCCAAGATGTACAGATACAAATGCCCCAATATGCATGCACTGTACAAAATATCCCATGATACTAGCACCGCATGTAATCAACCTGATGGTAATTCAGATAAATTTTCTCTTCCTAGCATGTATCTTGTCCAGCAAAGCTTCAAAAAATGTGAATGATTTTCAAAAGAATGTGAATGTATTTCGTATACCGTACAAATTCAATAAAATGGCAGATAATGTGTTTGATTTTATTCGACATACTGCAGTAACCGCAAGTTGCGCGAAACGAGGACGTTTGGCTCCATGTACGGAGATCATAGAATACAATTACCATAAAGCAGTATCAGTACGAGCACAAAAATTAATTCTGCGCGTGCATTTCTGAAAGATAAAAGCTTCAACTAAGGGATTCAGGAAGCATACAAAGGCATTATGTATCTGGTATCTTCCCTAACAACTTCATGTTACTGTCAACAAATGCACAAGAGTGTACAGCTGAAACACCACCGAAAAGATCTTTGCTACGGTGCAAAAGCGCAGGGTCCCCGGGGAGCTCCTGCAGAACGCGCAGCCATTATCCGGTCCGGGTCGCTGCGCGAAGAACTCCGCAACCGTGCATTCCCATAGAAAAATTATGGGTACTATAACGTATATAGAAAGAATGAAGTTGTTCCACGGTAACGCCACCCCGGCCGAGTCCGTCGCCGGGGCCGTGTGACTGGCATTGGTGACGTTAGTTGCTGTGACATTCGCGATGTGAGGAACCTCCACTGGGCGCAGCAGGTACGCCGTGGTACGCTGCAAGAGGACGGCAATCCACACGGCCAACAGCCGACACATCCAGCGCTTAATACGTTGTGCGGTGGGCGTGGCATGCTCCGCGCACAGTTTGCCGAATAAGCCGGTAACGTTCCCAAGGTAGACACTGGCATTGACGTTCAGCGAGAACGAGACGAACAGATTAATGGGACAACCAGGCGGCTGGGGAGTATTCCAAATGAAGTCTACAACAGTTGGTATACAGCCACAATATACGTTAAAATGGCCTTTGTTTACACGCTTTGCAGAAGTCGCTCTACTGTATATGGCTTTTCATTACGTACTGTTATTAACGTATTATCTAAGTAATCTAACTACAATAGCCGAGCTCCATTAACGAAGATATTTTACGATTAATAGCAACGGACTGTCGCTATTATGCAGCTGCGCCGTGACGTTTAGGGTTTAGGGAGCGATCTACAACGAACCTCTACATAAATTCCCCCACGAAATATAGCTCCCACCCCATAAAGTTTAAATGTTTTTAGATTTAGCCCGATATCTAGCAGAGCACTATAGAGTTCAAATTAGTACGCCCTGACGATTTTTGAGCCCAAATCTTCACGTATGTTAATGGGCTAACTGGATCTCGTTGCTGTCTTTACAGTAAGATGTATACCATTTTCCGATACTTCGTACACATATCTATATAAATTTTAGCCCAAAATAGTACAAAACAGTGCTTTGATTGCCAGGAACTTACCAGGGAGACTTAAGAGCAGGGCCGCGCAACCCAACAAGTTCAGGATAGAGTTATAGAGAAATAAAAGCATGACATCCATGCTGCTGCATGGCTAAATACACACCAGGAAAGCCATAGCCGACATAATTTAAACAATATTATTACCCAAATCAATTTGCAGAGGAAGCTGTGTGTAACTGTGATGCTACATATTATGTAATTTTTACAGGAAAAGAAAGAGAAATTACCATAATATGATTGCAGCAAGGAATGTTTTCCGTTGCTGGCAATGGCGTAGCGCAATGCAGGCAAAGATGTCTGTGAAACTGTATGTGTGAGAACGTCAGCCGGAAAGTTGGCGTACCAGTTGATCGATCATCAAGATGTAGATACCCTACAGAGCTATCGGCAGCTACCATGCCTGCAGAATGCAGATGCGGTAAAGCATGTTGTACCGGCACCTACTCGTAGTTTACGTAATTACGTGCTATGTACATGATACATAAGATAAATGCGCGTGTTTACATGAATCTACTACTTTGTAACGTCTATTGCGAGTCTGTTACTTTGTATTTCACAGCTAAATTTCATTATGCTGTACATCTTATCCACCGCGTCAAACCTGCTCGCAATGATCTGCTTACGAGCAGAGAACTACGAGTAGCCGAATAAAGGGATCGCAAAGTACGGCGGTGTTTTTTTGTCCCTCATGGCTTCCCTCGGAAATCGATTAACTAATAATTTTATGCTAATGGTGCTGACAACTGATTATTGCTTTCCTGACATCTCATTAGAAACTTTGACTGGCTAATTTTTGACAATGTGCCCCGTTGCACAGCTCCTAAAACAGAGAATTGTGCGGGAAATCTTCCTTGTGTTCAGTTCAGTGTTCTGTATCAGTAAGAGACGATAGACGAAGCGGAAATGTATTATGTACTGAAGTGATGTTACTGGTGTGCTGTAGTTGTGAACTCTAATGTTGATGACACACCTTATTTTGAACCAAAAATTGTTTTTTGCATATAAACTATCATAGATAATAAATTACTTTTTTGCAACACATGTGCATCTCCGCTAAGCAGCAAAATTCATTTCCTGTCCGTTCACTGCACCGTAAAGCGGTGAGTTTAAAGGTTTTAACAAAGATACTGCGAAATTTTTGTGAAACTATTTGTGTGCGACATGTTCTCACCTCAACAAAAGCGGCTGAACAGTGTTTACTACCGCCCTGCATTGAATAAGCACTATTTTCAGTTCTGGGATTTCTACTTGGGTAAATTAGCGGTTAACAAAATATTTACGATAACTGGAACTGCAAAAATTTTGAATTGAATAAATTGTAGCCACAACTTTTGCCCATCCAGTGGCTTTTTGGAACGTAAACAAGAGTGGTGGAGGGCAAATTCGTACCCGAACTTCCTGATGTTCATTTTACTTCTTCACCCAACTTTTTATATGTTGTATACAATGTGGTACTTATGATCGCTGCCTTATTACACAAAATGAAGAGAAACTGATGTAATGAAGCTGTTTAACCCAGGAAAACCGGGTACTAGAAGGGATGGCACTACAGTTTTGAAAATTGGCAGTCTGGAACAGAAAAATTCAATTAAGAGAAAAATAATTTTTTTGAATTTTTAGCGACCATAGGTCAAGCAGGAGATGACCATGTCGGCCTAACACGCATGGTAACCATGTTGCGCCGACATGTTATCCATTGTCGTTTATAACAACTGATAAAAAAATCGCATAGAATATGTCAATAGCTCAAACGAAAGATCTCAACGAGGACTTCACTACAAGTGCATCGTGATGGTCATTGGGATGACCAGTGGTCAGAAAAATTTAAAAAACGAAAAATCACTGAAATGCACCATTACATAAGTGGTAGTTGGATATTTCGCAACAGTTGGTCACTTCTGCTTATGTTTGGGACAACTAGTCATCGACCCTAATGTATATCGTAGTTTGAGTAACATGTGCGCAGTGCAGTGAAAGCAATGCTATATCCGGCTATACGACTTAACTGGATAGCAGAGATAAAGAGCCGGGCTGGTTCCTGAAAATGACCACCATCGTTAATATACCGTTGTTCAATTCTTCAAAGTGTTCTACAAGTGACCAATTGTTGAAAAATACGGGAATTTAGCACATGTGGACGTTAAACCATTAAACTTAAACTTAACATCGAGGCCAGTAAAGTTCTGCCAAGCCTGTTATATAAACTTGCGTCAGCACATGTACAAAACAACAAATTTCGGTATTTAGAAAAGAAAACAAGACTTCTAAGTTACTTCAAATCTGCGTTATATTCTCAGCGTCGCACAAATTGATTTCTACAAGTTACAAGGCATGCCGTATGAGGGCTCATGGACCGGAAGGTCAAAATGTGTGCTTGATGCAAGGGCACAAGCGTCACTAGCCGAGTATTAACGCGAGATACATAACTTTTACCGGACCTCTCACTCACTGCTACTGTTTAATTAAGATAAAATTTGCAAAGAATATACGAATTGTTTGATGAACAATGGAGTAGCCAGCTCGAAGGACGAGGCATTTTGCCAATAATAGCACTCCGCACACAAGCAAATGCACTGTACAGCCAATATAATAGCCGTTCACGCAACTATTCCGATCCGACGTTCAGTCGTTTATGCGGTTATGTTGTAGATAGTACGGGTCATAGCCATTTCGGAGATACCGAGGGCAGTCATTACAAAACTGTTCTGCATTTTTTTTACATTCATTTTAATGGCGTTTAGTCAAAAACTACAGTTTTCAGGTATCCGGTCTGTGCTGACCAGTGGTCACTTCGTTGACCATTATGGTCCAGTCAGTTTTTTACGATTTATTGGCAATAGCCGCCCAAATAACAAAAAATGCACGCGCTGACACCCTACGTAATCGTTAGAATTTAAACATTAAAACAACAACCAAATTCCCGGTCCTCCCTCGGGTTAAAAGGTAACGTGCTCAAAACAGCCGTAGCAGGTCCAGTCAGTTAATACAACAATTTATGGGCTTTCTTTTGATTGTTTATTGTACCGTGTACGATGCTTCTATCAATGGATATGAATTTTTGAAGAATAATAATTATTTAGTACCGTGTCCAACCGTGTCAAAACCGACATGGTATTTTCAGTTGACCAGCACTGACCAGTGAACGTTTTTTCTCTAAACTACGCTTCAATTTTGCATAGAGCTTAGCAGTTACTTCTTTCATAATTTTTCTGGGAATTATCTGATGTGGAGTTGGCTGTAAAGGGAAGCAGGACCTCAGAGAACTCCGTTTGGTCAGTTTTGACCATGTTTGGCCACTCCGTGGACCTTACGGACATGAGGGAGTTAAAGGTTATACATTGCAAACTGTAGTCTAACATCTGTTCTTTGAAACAAAAGCATTAAAACCAACCTATGACCATAGTTACGAATAAGAGAGAAGAAGTCCTCCACCATGTCGGTCTAACACGCATAGTGTGGAACGGGTTAATGAGAAAATTTGCGGGATTTCGTCAAATGACGTTACAACTGAGCGGTTGCAGCTCCAAACAAATGGCAGACGTGCTTCCAAGTGGTCGGGATCTTTCAGGCTTTTGCTGATTCTTTGTCTCGTCTACCACAATCACTGTAGGCACACGTCGTGGAAAACTTTTGGAATAGCAAAGAATAGGTTACAGATTGAAAACTGCAAAGCCGGTAACTGCAAAATGATGCAATACTTCATTCCAGAATCCAGGCTATCCTTAGCTTTTCACAGCTGTCGATGTCGATACGTACACGGCGGCTCCCGAAATGATAGCTGTTTAATTTCTAGCATGTGTAAGTCTACACCATAAACGGTTTGCCTCTCTACCGAGCCAAAATAAACATTCCCTGCCAGCATATTTGTTCATATCAGCTGACGTTCCAGCCAATCCCAGGAAAATCATTTTCCATATACCTGATGTTTTATCTTAATTTTTGCATTTCCACCTAGTGTGTTGTAACGTGTCCTAACCAGGCTATCCGTAAAAATAGCGGCCATAGATTCACTAATCATAATGCTGCTTCAGTGGGTAAACGGTGTTTTGGAACGCATTGGCCGCTCCCGATCTAAGTCGCATATTGGAGCTTGTCTAATCAGCATGTTTAGAAAGAGATGGCTGTACAGCCTGTACTGCTTTTGCGTGGTGTTCTGTTGTATGTTGTTCACAGCGTGCGGGATAGTGTGAATTTATGCAGAAGGTCGTATTTTGCATTTGTGACACTGGCGTTTAAAATAGCGCTTTTCTTAATGCCCTGCTTCTTGATGGTTTTATCCATGTTTTCGATGGTACGATTAGGAGATACCGGCGAGAGATTTGAACGCGCGCTTTCGCTTCCAAAAGGCGCATTTGGCACCCTTGCACGAAAAAGGTGCGGGCTGGTCGTGGTGTTAGCCGTCCTTCTCGCCGGTGGCGAATGCATGGTAGCACTTATTACATCAGAAGATTCTGTAGACTGGTTATATGATGACGCAGCGTACTATGGCGTGCCATTTACAACATTAGCATTTAACGTAACGATCGTTCAGTTTATAACTTTGATATACAACATCATTCAGTATGCCTCGTGTCTTTTTGTTACGGTAGCATTTGCTGCCGCCATCGGACCCGTTGCGATTAAAATGCGACGGATAGCGCAAGAGTTTTCAACTACCACTGAAAATTCTGTTCTCGGCATATCCCACGGTAAAGAAATTTACGAGTACAATCCGTGTGCGGATTATGATGATATCATTCGGTTCATGATTAAATTTAGCAATCTCATGATCTTTCCGGTTTTCTTGTTGTGTATTTATGCTGTATGCGCTGCTGTATTCATTATTCTTCATATATCAAAACGGATCAATAGATCCATCGGATTTACTGTTTCCCGCGACGGTGCTAATTTGCTACATCACCGTTTTTGTTATCTGCAGTTTTTTCCTTTAGGTAATCCTATGCGTAATAATAATTTTAGGTGTTTGTATTTAGAATTTCATTCATTTCTTCTGTGAGGTGTATCTGCCATACCATAATTAAGTATCATAAAGCGCTTACTCTGATAAATGCAGCAATCAGAAAAATAGGGAAAGGTCAGGGCCACACCGACCGTCTGACTACGCAGTGCAGCGAATCCCCCATCCACTACTCATTGAGGTTGACTAGGCAAATACTTACAACTTACAAGAATATGCTGGCAGTGGCAGTGCAAAACGATTACTTCCATACGTATTTCCAACTGCCACCAAAACGACAATCAGTGCCAATACAGTATCTGTACATGGCCACTATTATTTTTATGATAACTACCAGTTCTTCAGATCCCAGAATGCATCCTTATTAGTTATTACGTGTAAATCGGCTAGTATGGGGTGAGTATCAGTATTCTTACAGTTTAATGTATAAAGCGTTTGTAAAATGGCTCTGGCACGGCAAATTCGTTATCAGATCTCTGTCACCGAAACAAATATAGCAACGAGATCATAATACTTAATTACTGTATTATGCAAAATTTAATCATTTTGATGAGCGTATTAGTGTGTATGTATATCTGCACTGGCTGTTGCCGCTTAGAACATGCATACAATATTTTCTGTCCCACATTTCGCAATGTTTTATTCAGTTTCAGACAGTGCAGAATATCAAGTTGAGGTTTATTGGTCGTCCACGCCGATCGCACGCACGGAAACAGGATTTCTCTGCTTCACCAAAACCATATCTAAAAGCACCGGAATTGGCCTTTTTTCTGCTTTTTTTCGGAAAATCACCGTTTTCTGAACACCAGTACCTTTTGTTTTCAGCTAAAGCCATAACGCTATTTTTGCACAATACAACTATGGCGGATGTACAACTCAGCATATACCGTCTGCAAAGGCCTAATAGCTTAGCAGAGATACTTGTTTGACACTCAAATACGCCAGCGGTCAATGGTGATGAACACGAAAACAGGGAAATAAGTTATCGTGCAACGCCCACAACCATGATGGAAATATTAGCTGGGCTGTGTATACAAATTATGCAATTCTGTGAGTTCGCAGTGAGTTTATTCCCGCAACTGAAATATAAACATTAAATACTAACAAAATACAGATTCAGTGCACCCTTTTTCCATGAAAGGTTCGCCTCTTGGCTCAACATGGCAACTTGATAATACACAGAATACGGAAAGACAGCAATCTAACAAGGCAACGAAACAGGGTCAGCATAACCGCTGACAAGAGGCTGACTACAAGATTTATGTAACAACTTAGAATTTGTCGGGAGTGCTGCCGCTGGGATCCCACAGCGGATTAGAATCCCCGTTACGGTCACCGCCTACCGGCCTCCGGTATGGCCCAATAAAGGGGAGAGGCTTGCCGGCCAGCCGCATAATGAAGATGGTCAGGAAGACGCTGAGCAGAACGCCGATAACGAGCAGCAGGAAGATGGCCGCTATGCTCAGGCTTTTCAGCTCTATATAAGAAACACCGGCATTAATTCGCGTAATAGGTAAATTATTAAAAATCATCTGTACTTGCTAATAAAATCACCGTAATTACTACTGCACCGATTAAAGACATTTATAAAATAAAATCTGTGTAGAAATTAATATCTTTTTGGATAACCCGCTGCAGAATATGCAAAACTAAAATTTTAAGTAACCTAAAATAGCTGATTATGTGGCTAGATCGGGAGAGATGGCAAAATGCATGCGATGCGACCTCTTAAAGCCATCATCACTTAGCCATGCAACGTTCTCTGACGTTCTCGAAATCTGAACAAATTGTCGCTTAACCAAAAATAATGTTACTTGGTATAACGACTGAAGTTTCTAAAATTTTCAAGTAGTTCGAAATTTAAATTCTGGTGAAAATTAATATGCTGTATTTTTTATATCACTTTTAATTCTTTTATTTGTTCTACTGTATTATTTTGATATTTTTACCGATAGCCTTTTGTGTCTGTAGTAAATTTTATTTTTTATTATATGCATATTTTTCATTCATTTTATTCAATTTTTTATAAGTGTTTTCGTAAATTTTTCGTTTTTTTATAGCAACCAACAAGTTATTACTCGATTGTACTGCGTACCATCGAACGACCGGTCAATATGGGCCTCCTGCGGTGATCCGTAATACGAGCGCGTAGTCTGGTCGCCGTCGCGTCTAGGCGCATCGGTAGTGGTATACGATGAACCGGTATAGCCGCCTCGTCGCGTTGTACCCAGTCGCGTACTGGAACCTAATACAGATCAGTCACCGATTAAGCAACACATTCTTCAAAACACCCTACACTTTAAACTGTAGTGCTTGATAGTCATCAGCAATTATCTGTGGTTATATAACAATTATATGAAAATGATCGTGTTTACGGGGTAATTGGCAGGGTGATACGGGAGTGTGTTCTATGAAAATAAGGGAGACGTACTGCATGTCTGTTGGCGGAAAGCGCGGTTGGAGATGCCGGTGGTGGGATAGTAGGCCACCGGGCAGTTCAGCCGGTCGTCGCTGCTGTCCACGCAGATGATGTCACTGTGGATGTAACCTTTCAGGGCGCGGCAGTAGGTTTCGCTCGGTCCGGTCACATCTGCAATACCACGAAAAAATATTCGTTAACAGCCGTTAAGAAAACCTAAGAAAGTTCTTTATTAGAATACCGATCGAAAATAATGGAATCTTCTTACAAATTTAATACGGTTCTAACTGATTCCTTAAAAGCAACAATTTATACCTTAGCAAAATTAATACTTTATTAATTATTACGCAGTACTTCACTGTATTTAAATTACTTTTTTAAATTATGTGTATAATGATTATGTCGCACATTTCCACTAACTCTTGGCACGATAAAATAAATCACATTTTATTTTACAAAAATAATAGAATAAACAAGTTTGAAAATTCGCTAGATTTAGTGAAAAGGGTTAAAAAGAGTACGTGTTGGCTGTTTAGACTGGACTCTGTTTGTCATCAGTTATATACATTGTTTTCAGCTTTTAAATAATACTTAAAATTTTTTATAATAATTAGAAAAACGTTTTATAAACGTACGTACGTATGTTTTATAAACAATAAACGTACGTAAACGTACGAAGACTTATTAATTTTTAGCTGTTTTATAAGCGCGTACTTTTAACGATGGTATAATCGAAGACCACTTCGTGCGAGTAGTTGCGGGCCGTTTTCGGTTCAATGTACAGGTTGAAGGTGAGACGCTGTTTGTTGCTGTACGATGTCAACAGCTGCGCCACCGAATTCGGCTCACGGCTGCGCGGGCTGGAACCACCTGGGATTCGCTTAATAAGGGTACCGCGGCTGCCGGTCTGCACATTCTCGTACACCTCCAGGAAATCCTCCATGGCCAAATCCGAACGCCTAATTCAAAAGAAATCCTCATTGAAAATGTACGTGAAGTACACGTTAGTAAATTTTGCATCAACAAAAATAGTAAAAAAATAAAAAAATAAATATTATTTGTATTTATGTGGCCAAAAAAATTATGAGATGTGAAAAAAACTGGGAATAAACTGGGAATAATCTATACAATAATGCCCGTAAATTACATATTGTGTTTTCATTCTAAAATAAGATGCATATTCGAAAAACAGTGTCATTTTGACCTGTTACACAAATAATTTTTTTTAATTAGGCGGTACTAACGGCGACTGCGGCTGTCTGTGCGTCGCTAAAATCTCGATTTGCACTCTGCTTTACTGGACAAGATCGCACTTTGATTAAGCACCAGTGTGGACGTCATCGACCGCTGTTTGCGGATAGAAAGTATCGCAAAATTAATGGAAGTACGAGTACTTACGGTATGTTAAAGTAGACGGCATGCGGCGTCGAGCAGTAACTGGTCTGTACACTGACCGAGCAGTTCTCCAGCGGCACAATCCAAAAGTGCAGCTTTCCCGCTCGTCCGCTGGAACTGTCGCTGTCGGGACAGGTTAGGTAGACCGTCTGATCGCAGTACTGCTCCATCCGGACTACAACAAATTATGCCAATAATTTTAATAATTAAATTTTTAACAAATCCGATTAGTTGTAAGTTCAAAATTTACAAGGTAAATTAGAGTAAATTTTTAACTTAATTCGATGATTTAATAATTTTGTGGTAGACATTTTCTAGCGTTACACAACCATTAACAACTCGATTTTGTTCATAAAGTAAATATTTATACTGGAGTTCAAAATCATACTTAAAGACAAATGATAGGATCAGACAGATCAGCGTTAATGAATTCAAACTGAATTCCTACTGATTATTAAGAAAGCGTGACTATTATTCATTTATTCAAATTATCATCTACCAATAATAACTGGTTAAAGTTATTATCAGACGGATTCAAAAATTATTATTTGTATTTTGGAATTATATGCTTTCATTCACCATAAAATTGCTTGGAATTATTATACACAAAAACTGACAAAGAAAGCAAATTTTTTAAAATAAAATAAACGAAATTATATTTAATAAAATATGGCACTCACTTTCGGGATATTCGTAGTATAAAGCTCCATGGACACAAGCCGCAAGAAACACAGAAGAGAGAAACAATCGAACAATTCTTAATTCCATGTTGAAAATTTTCCTTCAGTTGCGCACCAAACCAGACTGACAACAAAATGTCTCACCGCGAGAATATCTCCACTTTAAAAATACAAATCACTGCAATCTCTGTTCAACCGCTGTTTACATCCAGAACGCGCCTTCAACGTCCGGCAAAATAAAGTCAAGAACACCAAAACGCAAAAACTATGGACCGTTCGCTCCACTTCCACACGGCATAAATATGTCCGTCGAACAACGCAAACAACAACTCTGTTTTGACTCACGAAGACTTCGAAGTGAAACACACGCACTGCAGCCAGTCAGCGCTTTAAGCTGGAATTCCTACGAGGATGCACGGAAACGCGCGCCAGTCAATTTCACGTTAACGCTGACAGCATAGGCGATGTGCAGCAGTGATAAGCGGTGTTTTTCAGCGTCGCGCTGACAACGAACAGTAGTGCCTGCTGATCGCTGGCTGCTGATTACGCGGCGGTGATCAAGGTTATATTTCTGTGGTTAAAAAGCCGGTATCATGTGTGGGGATCTTACCACAATTCCAGCATCGGCCACACCTTAGTTGGACGAACACCGAAGAACGACGTGGAAAACGGGCAGTGGCTTAACAGTGACGCATGACCTTAACGGTTCCGGAAACCGGTGGGGTGTTGTAGCGTCAGTGTGACGAAAGTAGCGACTGTTCGCGAAAATTCTGTTAGATGAGCAGAAAAATGTCACACAATGGGCAGGATCGCGTTGTCTGGAGTACTAAGGTCGTTTCAACAAGAAAATATTAACCAGGTGTCACAACGGATTTGTTGGAGGCCGGTTGCGAAATACTTGTCTGCTGTAGCAAAATCAGACTGCGTTGTATCGTAGACTTGATTAATGGAAACAGCGTATGAGCACATGATGTAGCATAGTTGACATGGCAACTAATACAGTTCGATTTACGCGGTTCGAAAATTGGCAGTCTAACAAACATAATACAGCTTCTTATTATGTTCTGTTGTACTGAATGTTATTAAAATTAATTATAATTTCTGTAGTCAATCGGAAACGTGACAGTGTGAATCACATACGCTGTGTATATAGACCGATTTTAATACAGGGCTTCGCGGCACTTTGCCTACTAAGCTCGACTTTTAACGTATAATTATTTTCGGTGAAAATTTCGTTGCCCTTGCGACTTCGCAGCAGCATGAGTCATGTGTCTTCAATGCTCGTTATGTGCTGTTTTTGTTTAAGCAAAACATGTCCGGTTAACAAAGGACTCAATCGTCAGTCAAGTGAGTTCTTAAGCGCCGATACCAATGCGCAGCGGTATTTCTTTTACAGCGGCTATTTAATTTCCAAAATTTGGGAATCAACAACAATAACAACTAGGTCATCATCTGCAACTGCAACCGTACATTACCACAACATCCAGATATTGAACATTCAGACGGTGAAAACGCTATGGGAAAGATGCGGCCGGGAGCGTCCAGCCTGAACACTTTCGCCGTGAGATCTCTCCACCTAATTTTTTCGAGCCTTTGCACAATGCCACAATGACAAAAGCATCGTTTTAATAATTATGCGTGTTTCCGGTATACAAACAGTGGAACACAGCAAGAATTTTCGACTAAGTTTGTTCAATCAGTTCACAACTGCGGTTAACACCCGCTTGTAGCTGCCAGAAAGGTTTACGGGTTAAAGGCTTCCGATCAAAGGCGCCGCGTAAACTTTTCTGCCGGACTGCTGGCGGCATCCATTGATCCGACAATGACACCACTATGGCCATTCAGAGCCACTGTGCTTTGGTGTTCCAACCAGTGGCAGAACTAGATCGTTAATTAATTCTAGAAAAGTAGTGACTCTCAGCATTCAGACTGGACGAAGAACAACATTCTAAGGAAACCCGCCAACTACCGCGAAAGTGGCTCAGGTCAACACAAACGCGAAAAAATTCTTGACAGTACAGTCTGTTGGGTGAGGGCAATAAATTATGCCGGCACATGGTGCGGCAGAAAGGTTTACGTCACTTTACGCTACGTAAACCTTTTCCATTGATACGTAAACATCTTCCCTTGGCAGCGTAAGCCTTTCTGCCGGCGGCACCTTTGATATGTAAACCTTTTTCATTGACAGCGCAAATCTTTTTTCCGGCTACACGCGCTTTAGCATTGCGACACCGTTTAACTGGGAATTCGGACATCGGTAAAATGAGAACCGTGAGAATATTTGTATAAAGCCAGGTTTAGATTCTCTCTAGTGTTCATTCTCGCTAGAAATTTTGGAAACCGCAAAGTTCTCAGAGAGTTCGTCCATGATCGCTTCATAATTTTGTACAGAGAACTATCTTATGTTAGTGCGAACTGCGGTTTTCTGTACCAGTCAAAGTTCCGCCTTTCCGGTACTGCGCGTTTTTCATTGCAGTTCTGAAAACGCTGGACGAAGCTACCCAAGGGAACATAACCGATACGATATCGTTGAACAAGTTGTTTAACCTAACCTCCAGCCACGAACCCAGTCCTGATGACATCATTATCAGAGCTGCATTGTGGACCACCGTCGAGCTGCGCTGCCCCGCCGGGGACGACTACCCAGCCCCGACGCAAGATCCGCCATACAAGTTCAACGGTGTGCTGCAATCTCCCAACACGACCAACTTGGAAGACGACCGGAATGTGATGTGGAATATCTGCCTACGCCCGCGACCCCAGTGTGGGGAACTGATCCAGGTTTACACACCGGTAGCCTACACCCCGATGACTCCCGGAGACCGCTTCTACACCATCACCCTTTTCAACTTCTCGCAGACGCACAGCGGCGTGTATGAGTGTCTGCAGTATAACGGCACTCAGCTGGTGACCACCCGGAGGTACCGCGTTAGTCCCCGCATGGCGCGGGAGACGCTGTTCGATCCGCCCATGTCCAATATGACCGTCACCGTCGGGGAGGAGGTCAAGTTGCGCTGTTATGTGAAATTCGACGCTGTGCCGCATCCGTTTGGGGAGCGGTTTCTGTTGCGCCGCGAGGAGTATTTGATTTACGCGTCTGACCATGGTCCGTTTCGCAACGGGGTGGGGTCGCGATACGGCGCGGACACGTGGTATTCAATCTTTGACGATGGTTGTAAATGTGGCCTGCAACTTCGCATCAGCAACGTCAACCGACGCGATGCTGGACGATACCAGTGCTGGTTCCGTGTCGATGATCTCTTTGATGAATGGTTTGTGCAGGAGTTCTATCTGAACGTTGAGCAAAAGGGCACGGACCGATGACTATCCCTATTTCTGCCTTTGCCTTGCGAGGAACTACACAAGCTACTCTCACTGTTTTTTTTTTGTGGTGTTGCCATAGCATCGTCACCGTACAGCCGGTGTTCATCGCGATGATGACAGAAATTTTTGCGTGATGTGGTGCTCCTTGAACAGCAATGCGAACCTCCACTGTTTTTTATTGGTTGCGGCCTAACAAAACTCATAAATAATAATAACACATCCCTATTAAAAGTTTTTGTGTCAATGATAGTATTTTCAGCACTTTTTTTCGAACGTTTGGTGACACGTGATACGTGCGATTCACAATACCCCTTAAATTGTTGCGTTTTTATCCTGTAAGACACAATTTTGTCTGCTAACCGCCATTTTTATTCTTTCCAGGCATTTTTTGTCCTAGTACAAATATGTACTTTTTAACCGGGAAAATAGTGACCATAAAATTATTATTAATTTTTTTGTTTAATTAGACGAATGCCGTAAATTGCGTATGTTTCTCAAGTTGTTCAGGATGCAGTCACTAGTATGTAGTACCTAATAGTATTAATTGTATGTGAGTGATGACCTATTGGAAAAGACATCAATAGCTGCACCGTAATTATTCGACGGTAATAATCATTACATCCAGTAAATCTGGAAATACCTATGTAGTCTCAGGTAATATGGTCTGCTTGTGATCCTCAATCTTAAAGTACGAAAATCAGTACTGCTTGCGGGTAAAGGGTTTTGTTAATTACTCGAACAAAGTTGATGACCATTCAGTTCACAACCAAGTGCGATTGTCCTGCTTGTTTTGGGCAACGGTGTTCAGTCGATAAAAATTAACGTGTTGATTATATTTGCCAATGGGATCCATTTAATCCTTTTTAATGCTGTTAGCCGATCTGCTAACAATTCAAACTGGCTGCTAGAAATTCTAACAATTCAAACTAGCTGCTCTTCTCACAAGTCAGCAAAGAAGTGTGCACTGGTATAAGATAATAATTGGTCACACCGTCAATACATAACCACAGAAATACTGCATTTTCTAACAGTTGCTTTGAATCAACTACTGTAGAATTAGATGCCGGATAGGTATATGCCGAAATTGGCGAAATATAATTACAGGCCATATAACTGCCAACCGAGGCCATATAATTACAGAATACTAATAAGAAAACTCATGGAGTCATGGTCGTCATCGTTAGAAACTAAACGAATGAATCATCAATAATAGTATTATTACAAATCAGGATACTCTGGATAAAACGGCTTCCAGGAGGGATATGCCATGTGGATTAGATTAAAATGAGTTACATGCTCCGAAAGGAGCTACGATTCGGTAAAGGTTAACTAGCAGCAACACCATCCAAAACCGCTTGCAGCGAAGTGTCGGCTCCCTTCAGCGTCTGTAGCATGCATTCAGCGCGGCAAAGGTCACCTTGGTCAGCGAGGCAGCCTGCAGTTGACGCAAATCCATCCCTTGCCAGCGCTGTGGAATGTCGTCGGCGCGCAGACAGTTAAACCTATGAAATATCAAATTAATTTTTTAAGACATCACCTCATGATCGTCATTATGCCAAATGCCGATCATCATCCGACGTTAAGAAAACTAAAAGTATTCGTGAAAACTGTTCGATTTATACAAGCTTGCACAGGAGATTAATAAAAATTATCAAGTTTTATAATCACTCGGGAGTACTGACTAAGTACTAATACACATTTTTTAAATGTGGAATAAAGCAACAATACCGTGTTTCCGGTTTCCGGCGCGTAAACTCATATTTCGCGAAATTGTGCGAAATGCGAAAAACGTCGAAGTATACATACTTTCATCGTACTGAACAAAAGTTGTTAATTCACAAAAATTGTGTCCGACATTGTACGAAAAAAATTCATATTCTAATTTTAATCAAAATTTGAAAATTGTATTTAAAAAAATATGACGCGACTTACAGCTGCAGGAACATGCGCATACCGCCCCACTGGCCCGGATAGTCCTTCATCCAACGCGCGTACACTGCCGTAATCTTTTTCCGAACCTCGCGACTAACGGCCGGACACTGTTCATCCACCGCGGCCAGGAACCCCCGCAGCTGGTCCGCGGAGGTCTCTGTGTGCCGAAACTGCAACCGCGGAATGACGACGGGCGAACAGGACGCCCAGTTGCGGCGCATAAACCCGCTCTCCCGGTCGAACACCTCCCACTCGTGACCGCAGTGCATGATATTGACCACCGACCCGATCAGGGCGGCGGACACGTCGTAATCCATCAACACCAGCTGCTCGCACACCGTCAGCACTTCCGACACGTTCAGGCACTGCAGGGCCCCGTTGGGCGGTCCGTGGCAGATGGAGAGAAAAGAGACATTGGGGTCCCGGAGGAAACTGCCGCCCCCGTTCTGGACGAGAAGCCAAGGGAGGCGGAGACCCTGAGCGCTGATCACCGCTTGTATCATCCACAGGCGTTCACCGAGATCCACGCCGTCCGCTCGGAGGGTCAGGGAGCGGGTGGACGGCGACAGGCTGTTGCCAAGTAAGGCCTGGATTTTGTGGTCGCGGTAGGTGTCGTATTCGCCGGGCAGGGAGTCGTTCGCGATGGTAACGTGGCGGTGTGGGCGCACGTCGATCAGGATGTGCTGCTTGAACACGTTCTCCGTAGACTGAAGGCAAGACCACAGCGTGCACACACTAAAAGATCGTTAAAGATCAATAATCGTACATGTTAGTTACAGGACTGAAATTTAAAACCATTTGTGCGGTTTTTAAAATGAAGATAATATAACTTAAACAAATTATTTATGGTAGCTGGATCGAACATTTCCAGCATGTATCCGATGCAGTGTAGAAAATAAAATGTTTACACTCTTTATTCTTGTCAAGACTTTCATAAATCTTTCTGTCGTTTCTTTCAAATATGTCATGTTTCGCTTAAAATAAATCGGTTTTATATCAAGAATTTATAACACGCTAAAATACTAAAAGCAAATTATAAAAAAATTTTAAGAAATATTATAAAAATTATATTATTTTAAAAATAATTAAAAAATATTTAAGAAATTAAGTAAAAATATTTACGAAAGTATTTAAAAAAATATATTTCAAAAAGTATTTAAAAATATTTATTATTCCCATTTAAAAAATATTTTTCCTTTTCAGAAAATTGTTAACGCAGGTCTAACTTTCTTACCGGCGCACTCGCCACTGGGACTCCACATCCAGTTGGGACAGGATAGTCGTGTGCAGTGGAAGGCTGAGGTCGTTGATGGAGACCGGATCCGCTTCTGCAAAATGATGACAAATTCACAGCTGACAAGTTTGCTAACAGGGAAACGTTTGTTTGCGCAGTATACGTCAGAACCTATCATCTGATAAATGTTTCGGTCCTATATTGTACACGTTAAAAGGAAAGTCGGCACTCACCATACAGCACGGGGCTGCAGCGAGGGAACATCAGCCGAAGACGCTGTCCCACCAAGTCCTCCTTCACGTACTCCCGCAGTGCGCTCCGCAAGGAATCGGCGGTCCAGAACAAACTGTGACCCTCCTCATTCCCATGCATCTCGGCGCAAACGAAAACGACCGTGTTTTCGCCCGTCAATCGCGCGAAGACACGGCACCCGATAGCGAAGGTATACCGACCTCCCTGCATCTTCTGATGCCGTCCCGCGCAAGTGAACACCATATCGTCCACACCCTGATCATGGGTCACTGGGCAGCTGGCGTCACAGAGCACTCCACGGCCAGGCTTCAGTTTCAGCTGGCACACCTGGTTAACGTAAATTGCCAGGAAATCCACGGTGGTTAACGCTTGTCCTAGGGGATCGGCGACCTCGTAGCGCCGGAACAGAAACCCGCTGCCGCGACCTGCGAAGCATTCACTGTCGTCCGACGGTAGGGTCGCCACCAGATGATTGCGGTGAACGACATGTACCGATCCGTCGTCCTGCAGGCGGACCATACAGAGCAATCCGTAGTACTTCTCTTCCTTGATGAGGGTGCACGACCGGAAGACCATCGGTTGATCGGCGGCCGTCCGCAGCGCCACCTGCACCGCGGACCCTTCCCAGGCGTTATTCAGGCTGAGAAAATGATGGGGCCAGAGTTGCTGCGCGGGGACCCACTGGGCGGGAACTCAGCTGGCATCGAAGTCCACGAGGAAACGATCGTCCTGGATGTCCCGCACAAATCCCATCCACCACGACTGCTCGGCGTCTCGCTGTAGCAGCACTGTGTTCCCGTGGTGCAGTTCACGAGCATTTTTGAAGAGGTCACGAAAATAACGGGTTGTGGTGTTCATCGTTAGACAGTCGTGCAAGTCTGAAAAGGCGAAAATGCGTCCAGAAAGGCAAAAACCAACAAAATAGAAGCGAAATTACTGGACACCTTCACAAAATTAATGGCAATAAACTTCGTAAAAAAAGTTTGGAAATGTCAGTTTGTTTTAATTCTCTCTGGTGTGCATGAAGAAATTAGAAATGCCAATTTAACCAGTTTCTTGGTAAGCGAGCACATTGCTATAGTCTTCGCTACATGCCACCTTTAAGGTGTTTCCTTTACTACCTCGGACTAATTGCTGATGCCTGTCGTCAATGTTGTTCCGGTATAATTTAATAATTAACTATAAACTTTGTACAGAAGAAGAACTTGGTAAATTTTGTAGAAGAATTGACACAATTTGTCTTTTGTACGCATTTATACAACTTTGTAAGTGGTTTTTGTTAGCTCATTTAACATCGTTCTGATTACTCAGTTTATTAGCATAAGCCAGTCACGTAATCAAATCCTGTAACAAAACACGCAGTTAATTATAATCCCAATATTATTGTTGTCGTGTTAAGTGCTTTTAGACCCTTGAAACTGCAGTAATGACTTGAAAATACATACAAGCGCAAACGGAGGGACATACATGTAGACGCCAGAAAAATTTCTGAGATTCCCTCTCTCGTAACCCTTTGCATATGGGTGTGGCCGCTACTTCTTGGTGTTTCTCCCAGTTTTGTTTTATCTGTACAACAACCACCCTTTCGCTGTAAAGCAGGAGTAAGGTCACAGTCACCGGATCATTCCAGGAAAGAATTAACAAAAAGCAGAAAGGGGCACGACTCACGCAACGGAAAGTGTTGGCATTTTGTCGGGGCACGTGTTGCCCGACAAACCTGCATGTCCTGAAAACCATCTGGCTACGACCTTACACTCCGGCAGCATCGAGTTCACGCTCTGGCAAAACCATCCCGGTGGAAGCCCAGATAGCATTTTCGAATGCAGAATAAAACTTCGAGGGCGAAATTTACTGCGCACGTTTTTCTTTACCAAACTGAGCTCAACGATCACCGCCTGTTACGTACAAGACATGCTGACTGTTTGCAAGCATCTTTGGCATAGCAACTGATGTACGTTGCGACTAGTAGACTACTGTCAAATTGCTGCAGAAATTAAGTAAGTCTAAAAACTAAGAACTCCGCTAAAAATTTTTTATAATGTGAGGGGTGACATGGTACAGCAAAATTGCAGCGAAAGCAAATAACTAAATATGTTAATAAATACAAAGTAGTAAAAATTTGTCTGAATGGGCTATTCCACATAAGTGTGTAGGACGCGACACGTGTGTACACGTATTCACTGTTTATACCGACCCAGTTATGCTAATTTGATGGTAGCAGCTGATGCTACTTGTAATTCGACTCGGGCAAATTATTGCGTTAGCGGTTCGATTTCGTGCCTCCTGGCAAAGATAAATCCGGCGCGATGCGTGAAAGCCGTGCACGACCACAGTATCAATCTCCAGTCGGGTAAAAGGCAGGAAAGTACAGGGATTGCTCTCAGGTGCTTGATTCTCTCCCTTATAATAATAATCGAACACTTCGCGCAAAATCAGCGTGATTTCACTGGAAATAATTTTATTAAATACGGTGAAAAAAGTTTTAAGCGAAATTTTGCCACAGCCTACCGGTACAGAGTAGCATGAGCCAAATCTACTCGTTATTAGCTTTTTGCTGCTTTTGCTTAAGCAAAACCTGCCCGGTTAACAGAGGACTTAATCGCGTATCAAGTAGGTCAACTTTACTGTGTACTGTGTAGCGAATATGCACATCTGGAAGGCTGGAACGATGATGTATTTTAAAATTTCATAATTTAGCATTACATGCCAGTATTAATATATCATGAGGATTTTTCATAACATACCGACTTGGGAAGTACTTACATAATTATAATATATTTAATTGGTATGCAAAATTTAGGTGGACATTACGTTCCGCATACAATTAAGTATATTCGAGCACTTTTCTACTTCGGTAGATGTTTCGGTTGGACACTTTGGTCGGGAACCGGCCACGAAACCAAACAAACACTATTTTATCTTACTCAATTTTGTGTCTGTTTTTGCTGCAGTTGTGAAGTGAACATATCCCTCAACTTAAGTATGCCTTACGTAAATCTTATCAGCCAAATTTCACTAAATTTTCTACCTAAAGTTAACTTGTATTCACTACCCAACTGAAACGATCATACCAGAGGCCGTGGGTCATTAATAAAATGGCAAAATGCGGCATGCGCCAGTTCACGCACTGCGCCGTTTTCGGCTCTTTTCACTAAGGCCTTGAACTTTGCGTTTTAGTTCTGCACCAGCTCGATGTCGCTTCCCAGGGGAATAACTCTGAGCCTATATCGTTGAACCAACTTTTTAATCTGACCACCAGCCACGAACCCAGTCCTGACGACATCATCATCCGGGCTCCATTGTGGACCACCGTCGAGCTGCGCTGCCCCGTCGGGAATGACAACCAAGCCACGGAGCGTTACACGCCGTACAAGTTCAACAGCATACTGCAGCTAACCAACACAAGCAACTTGGAAGAAGGTCGGAATGCGGCGTGGAATCTCTGTCTACGCCCGCGCCCCAAGTGTGGTGAACCGATCCCAATGTACACACCGGTAGCCTACACCCCGATGACTTCCGGCGGCCGCATCTACACCATCACGCTGTTCAACTTCTCGCAGATGCATAGTGGCATCTATGAGTGTTTGCAGTACAACGGCAGTCAACTGATAACCTCTCGGAGGTACCGTGTTAGTCCCCATATGACGCGGGAGGTACTGTTTGATCCTCCCATGTCCAATATGACCGTCACCGTTGGTGACGAAGTAAAGCTGCGTTGCCATGTGAAATTCGACGCCGTGCCGAGTCCTTTTGGTGAGCGGTTTCTGTTTCGCAGCGAGGATTACTTGATCTTTGCGTCCAAGCATGGGCTATTTCGCAACGGCGTGCAGTCGCGAGACGGAGCAGACACGTGGTACTCGGTGTTTGCCGATGGTTGTGAGTGCGGCCTGGAACTTCGAATCACAAAAGTCAGCCGCCGCGATGCCGGACGCTACCAGTGCTGGTTCCGTGTCGATGATCTCTTTGACGAATGGTTTGTGCAGGAGTTCTATCTGAACGTTGGGTAAAAGGTCTTAAATGCATTAATACACAACCTCGAAATTTTACATGCAGTATGAGCCTTGAGGCAGCGCCTTGTGCTTTGAATTACTATGTAGTATGTTCTCTAGATCAGCATAAATTCTGTTGTTCATTGGCGCATAGTACGGGAACGCATACCGCTTGCAGATTGCTAAAGCAATCCACTGCGGTTCTGCATGCCTTTTTCGACCGAAGCGTAGCGAAGGTCCTCTATGTTCAGCGTTCATGAAAAATGTGGTGTCTGTCGGTCACCGCCATCTATTGCACGTGTGCGCGGCGTATTTACTGTGAAATGCACGTATGCGCGCTGGCCGTATATACTCAAGGCGAGTGCAAACGGTGGTGTCTGTCGGTCACCGTCATCTAATGCACATATGCGCGGTCTTTGCGCTGTCAAATGCACGTAGGCGCGCTGGCCGTATATACTCAAGGCGAGTGCAAACGGTGGTGTCTGTCGGTCACCGCCATCTGATGAACATATGCGCGGTATTCCTACTATTAAACTGCATACATAGACGGTCACCTACCGCCATCCAATGCATATTTTTTACGGTCACCACATACTGTGAAACGGACACATGCACGGGCCCAATACTATCAAAAACCAGAAATGCTGGCTGGCCGTATATGCTAGGGCCGCGTGTAAAATGCGGTGTCTGCTGGTCACCATCTCTCTATATAAGGTGTCCAGAGGCGCGGTAGCCGTATCAAAATTCTGTGCTGCCTACTGGCGTTTAGAAGAATGAAATATTTATCTCTTTGATAATTCAAGGTAAGCATTAATTTCTGTATTCCTATCTTAGCACAACACATACTTTGCAGTTTGCATTGTGTTTGTCCATCGGTCACCGCCACCCTACTTAAAAGGGCAAAAGGCGCAGTGTCCATTTGTACTCGAGGCTTGTGTCTACCGTAAAGTGGTTTTTCGGTAACCGATACGACGGTACTCTCTTGCCTTTGCACTATTTGCTGCTTAAAATCATTACCTTCTGAATAATGTAACCGCTCCACGAAACTGAAACACAAAGTCTGGAAGTCCGGAAATAGTCATATACTCATAGCTGCTTGGTTTGACTAGCGCACTGCCGGCATGCCCAAGCTGCATCCTGATCTGACCGTAGGTAGTGCAATTTCATGGAGGGCCGCAGCAGTTTAACGTGCAAATAATCCTAAAATCGCATCTTACAGCCACTTCATCTGGAAAATATTTTGGTATTTCGCCGGAAAAGTAACCGCCATCTATTCGAATGGCGATCGAGCAAAACAAACAAGAAATTGAAAATTGAAGAAAAGAAAGAAATTTGGAATTTGCATTAAATATTGTCCAGACACACGTCTATAGCCGGCCGGTTAGACCATGCATCCGCCGCCCCAGAAGGACGTTCATCGTAACTGAGACCGTAAATACGAGTACATGTCCCTCCAAGTAGGCTTTAGTTTTGCACAATGTTTCTCAATATGACCGGCAAAAATATCCAACTCAAAACTTTTGCCATATTCCGAGAACACCGGAATATTGATCTGCCTGGAAGACCTCACCGGTCTCATGGTTGTACTCTACAGACACGGTACATAGTATATACTTTAAAATCGTAACATTCAATTTACAAATTTTTGATACCAAGTAGATAAAAAATATTTATTAATTTACTCCTACGCTTCGGTTATACAGTGCCCGCCGAAAGCGAGTGCACTTTCCTAGTATTACATACATGTAGGTGCGCAGTGCACGCAGTATCACAGTATCCGTAGAGCTGAGCTACGTTATTCAGCACTTCTTCCCAACATTTTCACATTATTTTGGTGTTATTAGCATGCTGGATAAAAACAACGGCGGGGTTTAAACTTTGATTCAGTGTGCGCTGAAGCGGCCTTCTTGGCACTGTTGCGTTGAAGACCTACGTACAATTAAGAAGTTCGTTTTCATTAGACTAAAGCATGCAGTTGTTGTTGTTGTTGTTGTTTACGAATACTCCCAGAAAGTTTCCTTTCCCAATAACAGCTACTTAACATATGTAATAATGAGTCAGTCAAATTTCACGAACACGATTACTTGCAGGACTATAATAACTTTCATGTTAAAAATATTACATGTTACTTTCATAATTTGGTTTAAGTAAAAGCGGAAAACCTTTAGTTTTGTGCATGCACAACAGCAAAAACAAACTGCGCACCTGCTGCGCTAGTTGTCTAGCTTGTCTACGTGAATGTCTGTCCGTACCATCCCCGTACAAATTTAGGGCTGTCATCCCACCAAGGTTTCGGAGGTGGGATGTGATGGGAATGTGAACATGAAGCGATGTGATTGGTGGGATAGATTATTAATTTGTTATTCAATTTCTGACAATTTTTCGCAAATGAATTTAAAATTTTTATCCTCGCTGTTTACGGCAAAGAAGCCAATGAAGGCAGTTAATTGACCGACCTAACTATCTGTAGTAAACTACAACAAGTTAACAAAAGTCCAACCCAAAAAATTGCACGCAACGGAATCTGATGGTTCTCACAGTTCCGCAGTAGTTCTCGAGAAGTACCCTAGGTACTGTACTCTGTAAAAAGCCGTAGACGAATTGCGTCGAATACTAAATTTTAACATCTCTTCCACCATGGTCACTTCAGCATCCCGATCTCCGCCCGTTTTCGTAAATAATTTTACAAAATGAAATAGCGCCAAATCTCAATGTCATCAGTATCAAACTGTTACAAGTTTTTGCAAACCAATCAGAGGTGAACCAAGTCACTCAAAGTATATGACATTTTGTCAACGACTGTTCAACTTCTCGCATTTCTCCCATACTTTGGCATTTTATTTTTACCAAAACAAATTCATCCCATCACATCACTGTCCCATCACTCATCCAATTTTTTTTATCACGGCCGCAACTTTTCGGCGTGATGTGCTTGTGGCAGGAAGACGGCGTGATTGTGAAAATGTGTGACGACAACCCTACGTACAGATGAGTGTCTAGCTACTGTAAAGAATAATTGTAACCTGACTGTACAGGACTTGATACAGGATGTATCGTAGTAACAACGATAGATCTTGCATAGATGATAGTGCTCTCACAGGGGATGAACGGCCAGTTCACCCCTGTGCGCGAACTGAAACGGAAACTGAACGCCAACACACTGCACACTTTATCTCTCTCAAATACATCACATCAACGGCCACACCCTGCTGCGGGGCAAAAAGGAAAAAGCATCCAGCTCAGACGACGAAATCTAGCAACTGAAGAATCTACCAGATTTAGAATCTGGTAGATGGAGAAAACACGGCAAAAACAGCAAAACAACCTAGCAGCCGCCTGTGCGCGGGTGAACGGAGAGGCCACTCCTCCTCACAGTGCAGTACATATCATCAGATACTTACAATTGTTGTCAATCCTGAATTTCAGCAACAGTACAAGTACAGTGAAGTACGATGATAGCATGATAAAGACAACGTGTAACATTCGTAAATCTACCGAACATTAAAGACAGTCAGACAAAACAATATCAGCATAAAACTCAGAATCTCCACACGCCACACCAACTAGATCACTGGTTGAATGGCGAAAACGCGCCGAAGCGCTTTGGGGTAAGTAATACTCGCCCCAGATCCCATCGGGCATGACACACAGAGACTCCGAATTTACACCTCCACGTCCCATCCACCCATCCAGAGGGTTCGGGAGATCCACTCCACGGTCCAATGTGAGCGAAACGACAGCTTCCAGAATGAACATCCATGCGTCCCCGAAAACAGAAAACACAGAGCCCCCGAACGCTGCACCAACTAGGTCACTGGTTGAACGGCGAAAACGCGCCGAAGCGCTTTGGGTTAATACTCGCCCCAGATCACATCGAGCACAACATCCAGAAACTCCAGGCTCCCCACCCTCAGGGCCGCATGAATCCGGAATGCGAAAATGACGTATGCAAGCGACGGCAGGTCTCGAGTCAGCGCGGCTCCCGAGCGCACATCCACGGTTTCCAACCTCACCGTTCCCAAAAGCAAAAACAGCAGAATCCCCGAACGCTGCACCAACTAGGTCACTGGTTGAATGGCGAAAATGCGCCGAAGCGCCTTGGGTTAATACTCGCCCCAGATCACATCGAGCACAACGTTCAGAAACACCGAGCTTCCCGCCAACAGGGCCGACGAAGTCTTCTCCGCGGGATGAATTCAGGAACCGATTCAACTCCATGATATGAGAGACGGATGAACAAAGCGAATCAGATCCACCAGATGAGTATGGCGAAGTGAGATGTTACACGGGTGCTAGAGAGCCTCCAGTGGCGGATGCTGGCAGAACCCGACCGTGAAAGCGCTCAGGACTTGTCCCTGCCAATCTGGCGTTAACCAGAATGGCAGGGCTCAGTTTACCACACAAAAATATCCGCAAAAACAAAATGACAACACAGGAAATTCAAAAGGACTCTAGACAAAGACTGTCTAGAGGAAAAAAAGAAAAATATACTAAGTTATATTAAGTGTACATCATCAGATTCTACGCAAGATGTAACTACGATGCATCCGTGTTAACATGTTCGCACATTAAAGTCCACTGAGTTAACTCCACGAACCGGATTTTTAACGCCAAAGCAGGGTTTCACAGGTTCTTCTATGCGTATGGAGTTGCATAAGAATATATTAGTAACTTTTGAATAGTCATATGAATATATTCAATAGAATTGTTATATTGAATAGTCGCGGACTACAATGTGATATGTACATTTTAAAGGGAAAGTTCGCACCCACCATACTGTACCACGAGGGAACAACAGCCGAAAACGCTGTTCCACCAAGTCCTCTTTCACGTAATCCCGCAGTGCGCATTGCAAGAAATCGGCGGTCCAGAACAAACTATGCCCCTTTTCATTCCCATGCATCTCGGCACGAACAAAAATGACGGTGTGTTCGTCCGTCAGTCGCGCAAACACGCGGCACCGGATAGCGCAGGTATGCCGACCCCCCTGCGTCTTCTGATGCCGTCCCGCACACGTGAACACCATATCGTCCACCCCCTGGTCATGGGTCACTGGGCAGCTGGCGTCACAGAGCACTCCACGGCCAGGCTTCAGTTTCAGCTGGCACACCTGGTTAACATAAATTGCCAGGAAATCCACGGTGGTTAACACTTGTCCCAGGGGAACGGCGACTTCATAGCGCCGGAACAGAAACCCGCTGCGGCAACCCGCGAAGCATTCACTGTCATCCAGCGGTAGGGTCGCCACTAGATGATTGCGATGGATTCGTCGTCTTGGAGGCGGACCATACAGAGCAGTCCGTAGTACTTCTCCTCCTTGGTGAGAGTGCACGGCCGGAAGACGATCGGTTGATCGGCGGCTGCCCGCAGCGCCACCTGCACCATGGACCCTTCCCAGGCGCTGTTCAGGCTGAGAGAATGATGCATTTCGTAGCACGGGCAGCTTGGCCGGAGTAGTCATAATCAGACCGGTTTACTGTGGATACGAGGTAATATTCCCGCATGCCGGAAAAACGCTTTGTCACTCCGGCGATGATGACTCTTACAGTGACCTACCTGGAGACTCATTTATTTATTGGGATTGGGTAGCCACAGAGTATTTCCACCGGCACCTCGGCTCACTCCACCATTTGGCAATTCACACCCAGAATCTCATATTAACTTTTGACTATAGACCACAGAGTAGTCTTACTGGCTTCGCGCACAGCATTAGCTATTCCCACCTTTACTGCATTTTTTAAACTGTGAAGAGTCGGCTTGGTTTCCTGCCATGGATTTTATTATGCGCTAGTACTTTAAATACCGGCTGCCCAATAACGAAGTCCATAACGATCGTCGCCTTTTTCGAGCGCTTTATGATCGAAGCATAAGAGAATTAGCGTTATTGCTGCTGCTGCTGCTAGAGCAATTTTAATTATTTTGTCCTTTATAGAAAAGCATTAAATAATAAATTTGTTAAGTTGATGTTCCAGATCTGGAGTACTTCAGTAGAACCAGGAAAACCGTACATCAATTCAGTGACCAGAGAAAGAATTTTATTAGCCAGTTTTTTTCTTTTTATTACTACGAAGTATCTCCATCCGGATATTTTGACTTACCCGAGTTTGCCGCACGGTATGTTAGGATTCAAGCTGTGGTTTGACCAGCAATAACCCAGCAACAAAGAGTCACGTATTTTCAAGATTATCTTAATATAGTGTCACGCATCTGACACCTGACCGGAACGGAAACATTTGTATTTATTAAATAAAAATGTTTTCGTTTCTGTCAGATGTTAGAATATTATTCCAGATTGATAACGCGGTCGTAACGCTACGAGTAGTTTACGGAAGGTCGCGATTCATCGGAAAATGAGCTTTCCCCTGTATGCGCAGTTTCCGTTGTCACCATTCTGGATTCCGACGAGAGGGTACCGTTTTGGGAAACGGCAAAAAATATGTGGATTGTGGGGAACAATTTTGTCGAGGCACTTTTTGCCGGTCACACCTGTACAGATATACAGTATTCCGTGTATGACATGCCGAAATGTTAGCGCACCCCAATACATTCTTGCTGGTACACGTATATTTTTTAGCACTTGGCATATTTTGTAACATAGTTGGCATAGCAACTAATATTGATTGTTTGCGTTTCAACGGCTATAAAACGTTAATGCAGATATTAAGTCGTACGTAATATTGTGTTGCAAGCGATGTGCGTACAAAGTATGTAATACTGACTTCCGACTCGTGATCAAGTATTAGAGTAAGTATGTAGTGACCATGTACTTGGTAGATTTGTAATCGGAAATTTGTAATCGCAGTAAATCGTATCCACAGTAAATCAATAGATTTGTAATCGCAGTAAGTACTGTAATCAAAGTGGCGTACTTGCATACTGTAAATTGGTAGTATACAAAAAAACTTGTATACTTGTTATAAAAATTAATCAAAACGGCACACTTACATACTTCGTATCCGTTTATATTAAATGGTTCATTTTGATGCTTATTAATTAGAACAAGCGCTTCCCTGCTCGAAACCAGTCCTTTCGGTTCCGACGCTTAAGCTTGTTTATGCGAGTTGCAAGGATTCTAATGCACCATTGCACACCTTGTAGTGATTTCACTTTTTGGACAAACCTTTTTCTCACTTTCTTATTATTGTTATAATAAACTATAAACAGATAAATCTGAACCGCCGACTAACGGGCTGATTTCTCTTTTTTTAAGTCTTGCATTGCACAACAGGTTAATGAGCACTCTGTAAAGGCCGAAGGAACTTCGTAAGCCGAACACCGAGGGCGATTCGTCCAGGAAGATCCGGTCTTGCCTATCAATTTTTGTATACGTATTCGCAATGCTCCTTAGGACTTATTCATTTTCTGTATCGCTGTGTTAGCAATCATTTAATTTTGACGGCATTCGTTCATTCCTCAGTTAAAAACGCGAAAAATTTTTATTTTGTTTTTATCTCTAAAAAAATATTTTTCTGGCCAGAAAATGACTTGCTTTTCACACTGAGTACAGTATTTCAATGAAATGATACCGTCAAACGCGTGTACATGGCTTAGATGGCTACATGGCCATGTAGACATGTAGCCATCTAAGCCATAATTCTCAGCTATCCAAAAAAATTAAAATACCTCACGCAAGTTAATAACGTTAAAAATCCCAATAGAAGCATTGGCAGATCTAAGAAAACACAAAGTATAAGAAAATCAAAAGAAACATAAGAAATCTAAATAATCCAAGAAATTTGAAAATTGTTACAAAGCTTACAACGTTAAGAATACTGTTTAAAAAATTAAAGACATACCGATGAAAGGATTTCGACAAAATATAAACAAGATGCGAAACAGTAGCATGCCGAAATGTCCGTGTGCCGAAATGTCGCAATGCCGAAATTGTCGGACACGAAATGGATCGTACGCATTGAAGCAAAGCGATGCGTGCATCGCGGCAACTATAATAAAATTACTTACCTAACTATAAATCTCTAAAATATGAAGAACAATCCATCAAGCGCTGGATAGACGTACTCTAGCGAGAAATAATTTGCTACATGATAATAGTACTACATATGTGGCATTATGATTAATTCCTGTCTCGTAATATCTCGCATTGGCGTAGCGTGCGGTAGTCTTGTATGTCAGCGGCTTTGAGTCTCTGTTTTCGAATTTACGAGTATAGCGCTTACTTTGAGTTTGAGCTGAGTCAATGAAACGGTTTGCGTGTTGTGATTGGTAGCATGATCAGGCAAAAGTTTACCGGAAATAAAATACTACCTTTGCTCAAGAATGACTATTCCACGCAATATCCATGTGTAGACACGTGTTTACAGTTTATACCGACCCAATCAGATGTATTTCCAGCTGATGTTGATTGACTCGGGCAAATCAGTACAGTACTTATGTTGACGATTCGACTTATGCCTCTTCGTCTGGTTAAATCCGGCGCGGTGCGTAAACGCCATGTTCAACCAACAGATCCCACTCCAACCGGGAATCAAACAGCAAGTACAGGGATTCATGTGAGGGAATTGCTTTCTTCCTTCTGTTAATCGAACATTTCGCGGAAATTACCGCTGTTTCTCTGCAAATAATTTTATTAAATGCGATTAAAGAAGTTTTAAAGCAAAAAATCCTGCGGAATAGCATGAGTCAAATCTTCTCTTTATTAGCTTTTTGCTGCTTTTATTTAAGCAAAACTTGTCCAGTTAACAAAGGGCTTAATCGCGTATCAAGTAAGTCAGATTTTACTGTGGAGCAAAACTCCGTCTGTCTGTACATCGCCGATGGTAGACTGTTTCTGAAGCGATCATCTGATCGTTTGGCTTAGCACGACAATTACTGCAGATGTTATCAAAATTACACGTAATAAATAACCGGATGTTAAAATGATTTGTGCATAATATAATCGGCTTTTCGGCTGCGAATACTCCCGGCGAACGCCGTGGTCGGTAATTTCTATTTAAAAAAAATTTCAACCTGAGCCTTTTCCACACAAGTTTTCGAGTTTTATCCAGCCCACTGTTTTCGAAGTGTGTTTTAAATTTTCGAAGAATTATAGACATCAAAGGTTTGGTCTATTACAGACAGCCGTTGCTTGTTCGTTAATAATTTGGTCAGTACCATTACGGGCCCCTTTTCGCATCATGGTAATTGCATTATTTAATTTGTAGGCACACTGTTTCATTTAAGATGATAAAGATGAGCACGGATGAATATTGGCTTGCGACTGGGCAAATAAATTAGTTTAAAAATTAACAGGCTGCAGCGTATTCGAGGAAGTAGTAGCAGTTATTATTTTGCTTGAACACAATTAGTTTTTTGTATAAGACAACAGATCGCGTTCAGTTGATCAGATGTAGTGGATGACAGTGAAGTTATTGTTACTTTTTGAGAGTTGTGTTCGTTAAAATAATTTTACTGCTTCCTACCTTTCGAAACTACGCGCGGCGGTGACATCGGGATCTGCAAAACTGGAAAATTTTCCAAGGAAGGGTTTTTGACACCCATATTATGTACATATACAAAGTCACCGCACACGTACACCGTTTCACCAAGGCCAATCACTGTGAATTGTATTTGCTAATTTGCGTTCTGCAGTACCGGCCGGTAGCACCACTGGAAGTAAAAACTAATGCAGAATGATTGCACTACTACTTGCTTTGAAGCGAAACTAGAGTCGGCAGACTCGATACCCGACTTGCGATTCCCGGATTCTTCTGCTATCAATTTTAAATAGCCTTTTTTAAGTTTAGCGTTGTTGTAGAACTTCTACCTTCGTACCCTGGAGTTGGCCTTGATCTACTTTTTTTTAGCTAAAGGGTGCAGACATCTCTCTCTACGCTTTACTGACCTTCCCCATTGCCTTCATCGTCTTCAGACGCTCGATCATTTCTCACGGTGCTTATTAGTTATTAGATTAGTTAAGGGAACTGACCCGGTACAGGCAAAAATTCGTGTACATGTACAAAACCTTCACTCTCGCACACTCCGAAACCCATTCTGCATGGTTCATGGCATTGTGTAGCCAGATGATTTGTATATCAGTATATGTATACATGGGCGTGTAAATCGTTTGCGCTCGCAACATCCGCTTGCTTAGTTATGAGTTAAGACTACATAATTATTAGATAATTCCAAAAAGTTTAAACGTTTTCAGGTGCACCAAAAGTCTCGTTGTGGGCCGATCTCGTTCAAATTATGCATGAAAACTCAATTTGACAGGAAGAACCGTTTTCACAACAAACCAGGTTTTCATCGTGTTTTCGATGCCGAAAATTTAAAATGAATTTCAAAAACTTTTAACATTACTTTAAAATTTGATAAGAATGGTGGAGAAATGGGAAATCGGTGTAAAACTGATATCATGAAAATGTGCGCTTTTACGTATATAAAATTTGAAGAAGATCGACTTATAATGAGACGCGGTACCGGCTGCGTTTAAACAAGCTTTTTTATTTCATCCATAACTCCCCATCGGATGTTGTACGCACAAACGATTTCCAATCCAGTATATAGTATATAAAACTCGTTTTGCTCTATGTACCGTATAATACGCTAAAACTATGCGTGAAAGCGACAGTTTTCGTGCATGTACGCCGATTTGGTGCCATGTACTAGATCACTTCCTTTAAAAAAGCAATGAAGCTACGTAATTAATATCGTTGTACTACAGCATCAAAATATGCAAATTGTGTTATATGTATGCACCTCGGTAGTTAACACAATCGAATCATAATATTAACAAAGCGGCTCCCTCACCCTCTAATAAACAGGTACAAAAACGAAAGTCCACAATAAACTTGGATGGAAAGAGGTGATCATTAAAGTTTCGAAATTAAAGTTGCTTTAATTTGATTTTTTTTAAAAATCAGGTTTTGAGTGTGGCAATTAATGCGTTTCCCGAAACTTTACCTAAACACGTCATCAAGCCGGTCGGCACTGTCATAAATCATAAGTGCTCGCTTTTGTTTGCCGACACCGCCATACTGGCTTTTTAGCTTCGGCCTCTCTCATGGCGGAGCCTGTAAGCGCCTTATCGAGATCAGTGACGGAAAACCATGATTCTGATATTTTTGCTAGGGCAAGACCACAGACTGAATATGCAGATACAATTTAAATATTATAGCGATACGCTTGCTCTGCACGTTATATGTGATCGAGCAGGTTCCCTTACATCCTATTGCAAGAAACTGGTTCTTTGCTTTTCCATTAAATTAGCCAGTGATTTATAGCATAATTTGATCTTCTGTATTCGCCACTAGTGCCTCAGCACGCTTTTCCGGCTTTTTTCAGTTATGCTGGACGTTTTGTTTTTGTAGTTTTGCGAACCCTAGACGAAGGGTCTCCTGAGAATATGACTGCTCCGATATCGTTGAATAAACTCTTCAACCTGACCTCTGACCACGAAGCCGGTCCTGATGAAATCGTCATACGTGCTCCGTTATGGACCACCGTAGAGCTCCTCTGCCCGGTAGTAGATGACAACATAGCAGCGACGGAAGGGGAACGTCAGGTGCCGTACAAGTTCAACAGCGTGCTGCAGTCGATCAACGGTACCGACTTGGAAGAAGGCCGGAATGTGGTGTGGAATCTCTGCCTACGCAAGCGACCGAAATGTGGCGAAATATTTCCGAAGATATACACTCCGGTTGCTTACGCCCCAACTGCTCCCGGTGGCCGTTTCTACACCATCACACTGATCAATTTCTCGCAGACGCACAGCGGCGTCTACGAGTGTCTGCAGTATAACGGCACCCAGCTAGTAACCACCCGGCGGTATCGCGTCAGTCCTCTCATAACGCGCGAGACGCTCTTTGATCCGCCCATGTCAAATATGACCGTCACCGTCGGTGAGGAGGTGAAGTTGCGCTGCCACGTAAAATTTGACGCCGTGCCGGATCCCTTTAGTGAGCGGCTTTTGCTGCGAAGCGAGAACTATTTGATCTATGCACCGGCCCATGGGCCATTTCGAAACGGTATGGGCTCTCGAGGCGAAGCGGGCTCGTACTTATCAATATTTGATGATGGTTGTAAATGCGGTCTACAACTGCGCATCGGCAAAGTCAGCCGCCGCGATGCCGGACGCTACCAGTGTTGGTTTCGCGTCGACGATCTCTTTGATGAGTGGTATGTGCAGGAATTTCATCTGAACGTTGTGGGAAAGGTCGGCCAATAGTCAGTGGTCTTGTGTTTCTGTTGACCAAGTGGCAGTTGGTAAGTTTGAGTGTGTCTGCTTCGATGGTGCAAGTTAAATTTTTTACTATACTTTAACCTTTGCGCTTGATACGGTAGCCCCCATTGCAATGGGAGCGGGCGAAGGACGTTGTGGTGGGTTTAAACTGTTATGTGCTATACGGGCGGAAACAAATTGTTGAATAACGACAATGATATAGCAGGTTTTTGGTTTTTCGGTTGTCATTGTCTCTCCCTTCTTAATCTTGACTATCTTGTAACTAATGATGCGATGTCCTAGATTACCGCTATACACAGAAACGAGTAGGAATAAATACGGTGGCTGCAGCGCGTATGTGTAGGTAGATTGGGATCAGCTCACGCTGCGTAATACTCTGTAAATTCCAATACTTTCTGGTTATAGAAGAGTGGCTTGTGAACAAATTTTTAATGTGGAATAAAGGTGCGAATACTCCTGGCGAACGCAGGAGCGGGGGAGCGTTGCCGAATCGCTACGTAGGGGTACAAATACATAAAGAGTCCGAGATCATACGCAACCGACAAACTATGCTCTGATTGAAAATGTGTGAATTATCAAAATGTCGGTCAGCAAATTGTCGGACAGCAAAACGGGGGTCAGAGCCTTGATGGGCTGCCATTATTTTTGTTTTATTCATAACCTTCTATTTTTTACAACCAGTCACTTCGTTTTCAGCTGTTCTTATACTGTGTGGAACCGTATTAAACAATTAAAACATGGTAACCGCGATCGCTGTATGCAACTCCGCATGAAAAGAATCCATGCTTATCGAATCGACAGCTAAATCTCGGACAGTGCAAAGTGCTAAAGCGGTCGGTTCTGAGCTCACGTCGATCACGGATTAACCATAATTATTTCACTTTGAACTTAGTTGAACTGTTGAGAAGCAACATGGACTTGATGGTTCAACCTGCGGACCGACATGTTACTGACCGACAATTCGCTTTCGACAATTTAGCTGCTCGACGTTTCGCTGAAACCGTTTTATGGACCGACGGCTTGCTTACCAGTCTGGTTTCTAGGTTTCTTAGCTCTTTGGTGTTTTTTTTTCCATCGGATTCTGGCTGACTTTTATTTCTTAGTTTGACTTAGGCTCCTCTTGTTTTTCTTTTGTTCTCATGGGTCTCTTATACTGATTGTTGTCCTATGTTTTCTGTTACTTTCTTATGTTTTTTATCTCTTCTTCTGTTTTTTTGTATATCTTATATCAGCGAAAAGTCGTCAAAAATTGTCGGTCAGCAATGTACATAGATCAGAAAATTGTCGGTGTGCCAAAGATAATACTGAGGTAGTGTTACTTTTAAGGATACCGTTATAGGCACCCCCTAAAACCCCCGTTTATTATAGGCATCATTTTGTCGCACCCTGTGTATTAATTACTATAGACACCCATTTCTGATAATATCGTACACAGTACTATATATGGCCCGAGACGCTCAAGCTCTGCTGCCTTCCCTTACCATTAAGTATGTACGAAAAAAATCTTACAAATGTGTGCACTACTTCGCTTACTGCCTTATATGGGCTCCCCTTGCACTACTCTCCCTTATCTGGGCTCCCGGCTAGTGAGCAATACCCGTCAAATTATTTATCGGATTTATAGCAGAACCCTTTTCTACTTCTTTCAACCGGATTTACAAGTGGGCACACCAAAGAATTCCGAAATTTCACATCTGAATTATATTTATATAATTATCTATATATATTTTAATTATATCTTATTATCTATATATAATAATTTTAATTATATCTTAATTAAATTAAAATACACTCGATGCTACCAAAGTACTGGCGAAATAAGTATTTTAAATAAATCTAAATTTTCATTCAGTCATAACACTGATAACAGCTGCAAAACTGTGAGTAATAACGTAACCGCCGATATAGAGGGTTGCTCATATTGGCCGGGAGCCCAGATAAGGGAGAGTAATATAAGGGGAGCCCATATAAGGCAGTAAGCGAAGTATAGAGAACACGAACAGAGCGGCTCTTGGGCTAGCATGTTCACTTATAGCCGACGAAATCGCCGCCCTAGCCATGTTCAGGCACAGAAGGTAGCATAATTGCAGAAATCCTTCATGCCAGGACAATTCAACGACAAACTGCTAAAGAGACCGGCAAGGGTGTCACAGCCCAAAACACACAAAAGCCCGCAGTGAATAATGCGTCATGTACCTGCAGTCAGGAAGGGTTTACTTAATCTTTGCCGTCAGTTGTAAACAGACGCCGAGTTTTTATGACGGATGCTGTTCGCAGCTCTATTGAGGTAACCTACCACGAATCAATGTCCTTGAAACCAGGAAAGCGATCAATACAGTAAAACCCCTCGTTACATACACCCTTATACAACATTCACCTCTTTATTACATACGTCCGGCTGAGAACCGAACTGTTCGGTGGATTATAACATAGGGGCGGTTCTCTATATAACATTCAACCCTCTATAAGTATAACATACACCTTTCGGGGAACCGCCTACAGTATTTAACATACAGTCAACCCCTGCCTTACATACAGCTGGCTGCATGAGGTTTCAAAGAAAGAAAGGTTTCAAAGAAAGTTCCTGTTTCAGTTTCAGATCTGTCCAGCACCAGAAATGACAGTAAAAGCAGCAAAAAGGCATTGAAAATTAATGGTTACCGGTTTATTTTGGAGAATTAACTGCCGGTAATACAGCAGCTTTTTGAAAAGGTATGCAAAACAGAAGGGCTGCAGAGTCTTTTTTTGGAGGATTAACATAAATTCGTAAGAAAAACATCAGCGGCACCGTGCTTAGTTGCTGTTGATCAATATATGGCCAACCCCCTGGGGGTGAGTTAAATACCGCCCCCAGAGGCAGTGCCCCTGTGTAACACACACCTCTTTACAACATTCAGAGAGCTAGGAACGGAGGGTGTATGTAGTAGAGGGATTTTACTGTATATCCTATTATCCGCTCCTTTTCGCGAAACATAATCTGTTTTGTTCAAGTTTTTGCTAACTTGTGTACACTATGTGCCCTTTAGCCAATCCTCGAATTTTACCGGAATTGATCATTTATATCATTTATATGGTCGACGCGTCACAGCCGCTTTGTTTTCAGCATCATTTATCCTTCATCTCACCGGCATTTCATTTTGTTGCTCAGTTAACCACATCCTTCTGTTCGTAATCGTTCTGAATTGGAGCGACCTTGTTTACTGGAATCGGAACGGCCTTGTTAGCGTTGTTGTGGTAATCTGTAATACGCATACACCTCTCTCCTTCCTTTACATTCAATACCTTGCTACTATCATAAACTTTGAATTTAATTAAACTGGGTTTAATAATTAGTAGTGGCGCTATGTCATTTCAGAAAATTTAAAACCCAGTAATGCTAATTTGATCATTAACTGTAATTGTAATGTTAACGGAGGTGTTTTATAGGTTTTGCTACAATTAAAAGCAAATACTTCGCAATTGTTTTCTGTTAAAGCAGAGAATAACTTTTGCAGCCGGCAGCAAGCAGTCACCTTTCCGTTTGACCTTTCCTTTCCTGTTTGAGCGTACCACACAGTAGCCAAGCCGGTAGCTCTGGAAGGACTACTCCTCCACGGGTGTCACCTACGGCAGCTGAAAGAATATCGTTGGACGTTGGACTGCGCAGCCGAAAGCGCCATCGGCGCGCTAGCTTCCGGCATATCGGTGATGCGTTCCGGATCACAGGTTGGCCGAACCCGCGGCGGCCGCTAAAGCGCCTGTGGATGAAGCGGAAACAGTAGCATTGGCTGGGCTGGAAACCGGCGATGATCTTCGACGAACAGCGGTCCAAGGAACGGGTGACGGCGTGCTCGAACGGCTAATCGACTTAAGCGCGTACATTATCCGGATATTAAGTACAAGATCTATACTACGCGCGGCGCCCCATAGTTTTGAGATCTCTACAACCATAAAACTTCTGGAAAAACGGACAACGCCATTAGATCCGGGATAGTTCAGAAATGGCCGGCATGTGTTTTTTTTTATGAAAATATCGAGCCGGCATCAAGCCGGCATTAAGACCAGATTGATCCAACCCATCTTAAAGGTCACCTTGAAACTGAGAAATATTTGCCTAGATACAATACAAAATACCAATTGACATAATTATTACACTAATTAAACCGAAAAATAAATAAATTATTGTACTTATTCAAACACTCGCGTTATTCAAACATTGCTGCCGGTGTTGCCGAGCTCGAAACACGTTTAAAATCAACCGATATAAATGTAAAAATATCAAATATAAAATCAATACGAAAAATCACTGGACGAGTGAGTGACCGAAACACTATCACCGACCACTGAGCGGAATCTCTAGATGAGTGGGTGACCGAGCTACCACCACTGACCAGTAAGAAAAATCACTAGACAAGTGAGTGACCGAAACACCATAACTGCCCACAGAGCGGAATTTCTAGGTGAGTGAGTCATCGAGCGGGCTTTGCTCTTGCTCACCTAACGGGCTCTGTGCACTGGACAGTAGTTGTAGCAGGGTCACTTCCTCACATAGCGATTTTTCTCCTTACCTAGCGATTTTTCTTACTGGACAGGTGGAGCTCGGTCAGTCCCTCACCTAGTGATTGAGTGCGTCAAAAAATCGCTAGGTGAGTAAGTGACCGAGCTACCACCACTGTCCAGTGCATAGATCCCGTTAGGTTGATGGGTGACCGAGCTACCACTACTGTCCACTGCACAAACTCCGTTAAGTGATCTAATGAGCGAGCTAGCACTATTATCCAGCGCATGAACTCCGTTAAGTGGTCTAGTGACCGAGTTACCACTACTGTCCAGCGAATAGATCCCGTTAGGTAGATGGGTGACCGAGCTACCAATGCTATCCAGTGCACAGAGCCCTTTAGGTGAACGTATGACCAAACTGCAATATTACTGAGCAAAATAGAACAAAGCCCGCTAAGTTCTTAGTGGGTGATTATCTAGCACCATTGTCCAGTCTTAGCGTCCTTTTAGTTTGTAATGTGGTACTCCCGTGGGTGATTAGATTCGGATGGTTTTTCGCTACGAAAATTTAATAAAAAATGATCTGTAAAGTCAAAGTAATTGCGTTCGACTGCACGAAACCAGAACATCCATTTTTTTATAAAATTTTTGTTATCGGGCTCTT